AGAAATGGTTGAGTGTGGTCGCAAAATGGAGGAAAAAGCGAAGGCTATGCAAAGTGAAATAAAGAAAAATATACAGGGAATGGACAGTAAAGGGAAGGAAACCGGGACTCAAGTCAATGATTGGGAACAGAAGGAAGAGATAAACACTCAACCGGAATGGAAGGAAGAAACAAGAATTCAAAACAATGAGGAGAGGCTTAGGAACCTCTGGGACAACTTCAAATGTTCCAACATCCAAATCATGGGGGTGCCAGAAGGAGAAGAGGAAGAGCAAGAAATTGAAAACTTATTTGAAAAAATAATGAAGGAGCACTCCCTTACTCTGGCCAAGGAAATAGACTTCCAGGAGATCCAGGAAGCTCAGAGAGTCCCAAAGAAGTTGGACCCAAGGAAGCACACACCAAGGCACAGCCTGATTACATTACCCAAGATTAAAGATAAGGAGAGAATTTTAAAAGCAGCAAGAGAAGAGGAGACAGCTACGTACAAAGGAGTTCCCATAAGACAATAGTCATCTGATGTCTCAAAAGAAACCTTGCAGGCAAGAAGGGGCTGGCAAGAAGTTTCGAAGTCATGAAAAGCAAGGACCTACATCCAAGATGACTCTATCCAGCAAAGCTATCATAGAATGGAAGGGCAGATAAAGTGCTTCCCAGAAAAGGTAAAGTTAAAGGAGTTCATCATCGTCAAGCCCTTATTATATTAAATGTTAAAGGGGCTTATCGAAGAAAAAGAAGATCAAAAACTATGAACAGTAAAACAGAGGGAAGAACGGGAGAAAAGGTACAGTGAATAAGCAGCATAAACAGTAGGAACAAAATAGGCAGGGAGAGGTTTAAGAATAGTATAGGAAATGGAGAAGCCAAAGAACTTACATGTACAACCCATGGACATGAACTAAGGGGTGGGGGGAATGCTGGGGGTGGGGTGGTGTGGGGTAGGGTGGAGGGGAATAAAGGGGAGAAGAAATGGGACAACTGTAATAACATCAATGAAATATATATTTAAAAAGTTTCTTTAACCTTTCTCAGTAATATTTTATAGTTTGATACATGCAAATTTTAGACATCTTTTGATAAACTAATTCCTAGGCATTTGTTATTTTATACTACTTTAAATAGCATTTTCATGGTCTTTTTCATTTTGTATATAGAAATACAATAGATTTCTGTATATTTAACTTGTATCCAGCCTAATATTGCCTAATATTTATCTTTCTAATATTTAATCATTTCCTTAGAATTTTACACATGTACAATCACATATCTGTGAAAATGAGTTTTATATTTTCCTTTTACATATTATATTTTAATACTTTTACATATTATATACTTTTTACATATATATTTTCAATCCTTTTACATATTATATATTTTTCTTACCTGCCTGTAATGGCAAAGACTGCAAGTAAAATTTTTGACTAATAATAATAGACCTTCTGATCTTTTTTACGATCTCAAAGGGAAAGCTTTTATTCACCATTCCACCACTGCAAACCATTTCTTTTATGTACAAAACATTTCTTTTATATATGTTTATACACACACACACACGCATATATGTACAATCTATCAGATTAAGCAAGTTTCCTAGGACAAGTTTGCTAAGAGATTTTAAAATGAAGGGTGGTTGAATTTTACCAAATGCTGTCCCTGTACAGATGATATGGTCATATATGTTTTCTCCTTTATTCTGTTAATGTAGTCAATTACAGTGATTGATTTTTCAAATGATAACTTGCATTCCTGGAATAAATCCAACTGGGTAATAATTAGTATTCCTTTTAGATATTGCTGGATTCAATTTGTTAATATTTTGCTTAGGATTTTTGCATCTATGTTAATAAAAATTAATTTTTAAGTCTTTGTCATAATGTCCTTGATGGTTTTCTCTTTCAAACTATACTTACTGGCCTTAAAAAATTAGTCAGGGAGTAATCCATCTTTTTCTGTTCCCTGGATGAGTAGGCCTAAGACTGTCTAATTCTTCCTAAATGTTTAGTATTTTGTCAGTGAAGCTTTCTGTCCCTGGACAATTCTTTATGAAAAGGATATTTTTATGGATGCCTTGGGAAAAGAATGGAAACTAACAATTATTGTTGAGGGGGCTCCTGAGGGGTAAGACAGAGAGAAAGAGGCGCTGGTATATGGCATTTCAAATTGCTTGACATTTTTCTAAAAGGACCTTGGTTCCCACCTGTCTCACTACACTTTCCCTGAGCTGTAGGTCTGGGGGATAACAGGTCTATGAGCACAGAAGTCTCTGACGGGGAATGAGGTCTTCTGGAGGAGAAAGACTGTTGTGAGGCAGAGTGCAGTGAGTGGGAGGTGGAGGAGGGTCTGGTTTGAGCAGACAGAGGCTCTTTGTTTGCTCTGTTTCTTTGTAAATGAGGCAACATTTGGAAACAGCAAATATTGGTTCCGAGAACTAATGTCTTTCTGCCCATCCTCTTTAGGTCAGCTACGCAACCCCTCTGCACGTCTTACACACAAGTTCAGCTCTTTCTTCAGGAGGGCCAATCTTGTTGAAACTTAAGAGTTTTACTCAGTTTATGATGGAAGATTTGGTTCATGACTTGGATTGTTCTGTAACTGGAAAATCTCTCATATTCATTTTCCCTCTCTCTCTCCTTCTTTCTTCTTTACCTTCCTGCCTTTATCTCCTCTTCTTCTGGATAAAGATCAATATCAAGGAGGCAGCTGTGGTCTTCAGAAGGCTGGGAAATTTAGGAGATTTGAGTTCAAGTTCCAGGGCTCTCTGAATGAAGAGCTGTCATTTTACTGCAGTGTTCACATTTAAACAATGGGGGTACTGATTCTCCCTCTTAAGGTGGCTCGTCAAGATCACAAGATCTTGCCCTAGAACAGCGCTTGATACATGGCAGGGTTGCAAACATGATACTTTCATTCCATCTGAACAACAGTCAGTGAGGTTCTGCAATTGGGGTACTAGACGGACGAGGGCTGCATGTTTGTGGAGAAACAGTAGGGTTGGAAGTCCCCTGTTTATCTCTTTCTCATATGAGCTCCAGGGCCTCTATGCGTCTGTTTCGTAGAAGAGGGGGTGTCCTTGGTGAATGGGTATATACACTCTAGAACCAGACTGACTGATTTTCCATCTGACTCACCAGCTGACTTTGGACAAGTTATTAACTTCTCAGAGCCTTGGTTTCCTAATCTCATCTGTGAAACAGGGATTCTAATGCACCAATCACAGAGGGTTAGCATCCAGTAAAGCTCTAAATGTTAGCCATCATTAGGTAGTAAAAGAGGAACAATGGGTTTCCTGACTCTAGAATGTCTCTGGTGTAGAATTAAGGAAGGGTGTCATGTGCCACCTAGGACATGAAACACTGTCATGTTAACCTTTACCTCTACACATCTGCTTACTCATTATGGACATGGGCACAGCCATACAACTGGGATCCTATATACATGTATACCTCACAGCCAGCCTAACCCCTGCCTCCAAAGAATGGGAGACACAGGGGTCTGTTCCTGTTCTTTTCCTGAGCTAGAACTAGAGTCCCTGCCCATTTGAGTAGGTGATGTTGGACTCCTGCTGTCCATATCTCATCCTACTTTCCTCAAGATGCCATGGGCTCTGCACTTCATCACCTGAACCTTAGGGCTTGGACTCAGAGGGTTCCACTGAGGCAGGGCATAGGGTTGGCTGGTCTAGAGACGGCTCAGCCTGGCCCAATGGTGCTCCCTTTGAAGGACTCAGGATAGGCTGTGGGCCTGTCTATGGCGGTGCTGCCTCAGGAAAACCTCCCTATGTGAGTGCAATAAGGGCTCAGGGAGGAGAATCATGGTCCATTGATCTGGCATGGCCTTCATCAAGCTTCCCTGAGTTTGTAGATTAGCTCAACATTTACCAACTCTCCTTCCTACTTCTGGGCAGACCCTGCAAGCTCACTGTAGAGCCTAGGGAAGGCATCAGTTGAATGTGGACATGCCTAAGCTGCAGAGTGCTCTCCTAGCCAGCTCTGATCCTGACTTCCCCTCCATCTTTAAGGTTCCAACATGAAGTCAGATCCCTACCCTTCAATGCCCTTCAATCAATGAAAGGAATAGAAATTAATAAAAGGATAAATTAGTTTATATTAGTTTAAAAGTTTACATACTAGTTTATATATATCAGTTTAAAATCATATGTAGAATATAAAACTTCACTATTTTTCCCTGATAAGGATGTGCAATCAAAACTGTTTAGAAACCACTTAGCTGGATGACCCAGGGCATTGAGATAAGGCCACAGCCTCCCCTGGGCCTCTTTCTTTGTGCTCTGAGTTTGTTTGGACTCTCACAGAGCCTTGACTGCATTCCTGGGCACCTTCCAGTGGCAGAGAATTGGTCTCTTCTGTGACTCTGTCCCTAGGCCAACATGTCCAGCAGGCTGCATGAAGGGAAGGAAGATTTCCAGACCAGGAGCCTCAGCTCTGCAGGGCACAAGGGGAAAAAGCAGCTTTTCAGTTGGGCAGGCCATTAAGACCCCAGGAGCAGGAGACCAACACCTGGAAACAACTGAATAGTGTAGAGCCTGGTGTCTCTGACTTGAAGTCAGCTTAATTCTTCTTTGGCATCCTCTCCCAGGAGAGTCTTTGCCTGTCATTTTTGTTTCTAGTCTTGATCTGGGACAGTTCCCTTCCCTCTTCCACCTGTGGTATGAGCACATAAGACTGGTGCAGGTCCAGCTCTACCATCTAGGGACTCGGGAACAGAGCTTCCCCCCCCCCCCCCCCCCCCTCTCCCCAGGGCCCCTATCAGCTGCAGTTCTGCTCCTGGTACAGAGCGAGCACATATTAACAAAGGACTGATTCTTCTTGAACTTCCTTCCAATCAGCACTTTTGGGCTGGATTTCGTCCAGGGGTCTGACCCAGCGCTCAGGAAATGAAGTGATAGGCGGGGGCGAGGAATGAAGGGGGGAGGGGGGAGGGGCGATTGGGCAAGCCGGCTGTGCAAACAGGAGGTCAAAGGTTGTGCTTGGTCTGCCAGGCCAGGGATAAAGGGGAGCGGGCGCAGTGAGACGGTGCAGAAGCCGGTTGGTTTGTGCCTGCAGCTCTGCCCCACTCTGCAGCAAACGCTGAGGATGAGGATCGTCATCTCCGCCCTGCTGGTCTGCACGGTCCTGGGTGAGTGCAGGCGAGGAGAAGGCCCCTTACACTCCCGACCTCGGTGTCATACCCCCTGGGCTCTGTGCTCTGCTGGAAGCAGGGGAGCCCTTCTTCAGCTCCTTCCTGCCGCACCTCTGCACCTGCTTTAGCACTTCCTGGGGACAGCTCTGCGCCTGCACGCAACTGCTGGTACTTACTTGATTGTGCCTGTTACTTTTTCATGCTCTTCTGCTCTTCTTGCCTCTTGCTCCTCCTCCTTGTCCAGTAAATCTTGTAATAGTGGAATACAATAAATTAGAGCTCTCCCATCATGGTTTATCAAATCCCTTCGCTGGGGCCTCCTCAGTCAAGTCCCAATGGTTTAGGGTGGCATTCGAAGCCTCCCAGACTGATCTCCTCCTCTGTGGCAGTCTGATGTCTCATGCAAGTCATTGGTGCTGATAATGTCTTGCTAATGACGCATGGTTGGCCAGAGGTTTGGAGCATGGGATTTAAAGCCAGACTTCTTGGGTCCAGACATCTTAGGTAGTACAGCCCAGCCTGGGAGGGTAGGTAAGGATAATTGAGGTCGTGGATCCAGGCACCAGTGGAGTTTGCTACACACACCCCTGCAATGGGGCCTGTCATTGGATGGCCTCTCCCACTCTCATCACCTCCTGAGATTATTGGGGCCCCTGTGTCCTCTTTTGCCTGTCACTGATGATGAACAGTCACACCTTTAGAGACGTCCATGTTTAGTGATTTGTCTCTCCTGAAAAGTTTACTCCGGAGAGTTGGTCCCACATTATTTGCTTTTGCCTCACCTCTTCCTCACTCATAACCCCCATGTAACCCATAGGGCTATGCAAGGTAAATACACGACTGAAGACAAATTCCTGCCCGTGGAAACCCTGGAAAGAGTGATTTGGGGAGGGTCTGCCACTGATTCCTGATGCCTCCTGTGATTTCCCAGGGCAGAACTGGGATAAAGGGCAGTTGGGGCAGTAAGGTTCCTGTGGTCCCTCCATATTCATTCTTGAGAACTGTGCCCTCTCCCTTTTCTGCTTGTTGTTTTGTGGCTATTCAGTGGCTTCTCTGAATTAGTTGATCCATGGAGACTGGAGATAACAGATGGTTTAGGGGACAGTGCCAAAGCTCACATGATGGGGCAACACATCTGCAACCACATGGATTTTAGTAGGTATAAACATAGCTGACTTTAGCTTCTCCAATTGCAGCCAAAAAGACTGGTGAAAATTGAGGGTAACTGGAAGCAAAGAGAACTGAGAATATATGGAGTTTCTAGTTATTCTTGGGATAGAGAATGACAGACAAGCGTCATAGGCAAATTCATGATCTCATCAATCATTTATCTCTATCTTCTGGCTAACCAGATGTAATTAACTCAGAATGTTACCTTCTTTAGTTTCCTGGGCAGAGACCAGTATCTGGAAGCCTGGTTTCTAGGCCAGTCTGAGCCACTAATAATAGGTTGGGTGACACTGGGTAAAACATCACTCTTTGAGCACAGTTCCCTCCTCTTTTAAAAATTCTTACCTTGTTGGTTTCCTGAGTTGTGGTATTCAGCCAATGCCTTATAGTAGCTGGAAATGCCCTGTCACTCAGCTGAGGCTTATGCTGAATTGCAGTCCTATGAGTGAGGGAAGGAGGCATGGAGAACACAGAGGAGCAGATGGTCATCTCCCATTGAGAACTGAAGGTCAAGCCAACATTTCTCTGGTTAGCAATGGGTGGCAAGTGGGAAACTGCCTCCCCTTTTCTTGTCCCCAGCCTCAGAATGCAGTGGAATCTGCATTCATGGACAGGAGGGGGAGGAGGACAGGACAGAGAGGATGTACCTTCAGGTCCCTTCAGAGGGTGCTGCTGTGTCTCCCACTGTAACAGGGACCTCTGGCCTTTCTCTCCTAGGGCTGTGTCTCGCTGTCCCCAGGGAAACTGTGAAATGGTGCACCATCTCAAGTCATGAGGCCAGTAAGTGCTCCACTTTCCGCGACAGTATGCAGAAAGTCTTTCCTCAGAGTGGTCCTCTTCTCTCCTGTGTGAAGAAAACCTCCACCATTGACTGCATCAAGGCCATCGCGGTAAGTCACTGCTGCCTAAGGGAGCGTGGAAGACCACCCATACTTTCTGTTGCTCCTGGTGCTTCTTTAATCTGTACTCACATAGAGGAGGCTGATGTGTGGGGCAGTCAACCCCCACTGTTAATAAAATCACTTGAGAAACGGACATAGGAGCAGCCATCTTTAACAAGTAAGTTTTAAAGCCAAATCCAATGTGCTCTGAAAGAGGACTATTTTGAGGCACTAAGTTCTCTGAATTCAGGGAAAAAACAAGAATGCTATCAAATTGATCATATAACATTGCTTAGAAGTTCTTGATACATCATGAGAAGCAGGTGAATGATGTTCGCAGGGAGGAGGAATACGGTGTCGGGGTTGCAGATGACCGCTGAACCCTTTGTTTTCTAGGTTTTCCAAAATCCTCTTCACTCCTTCAACATTGTTCCTGCTTACTTGAACCTGCCAGAGGTTGTGCTAGGCAATGCGGCTGCAGTGAATTTAAACACACATGGTCCTTACTCTTGAGGAGCTTACAGTCTAGTCAGGAGAAAAGAAAAGTATACAAACAATAGGACATGTAATTTCAAACTGTGTGACGAACAATGAAGGAGAAAAGTAGAAAACTCTGACAGAGTACTGGGTGTCAGAGACATCTCCCTGTGAGGGAACAATGAAGCTGAGACCCCAGGAATGAGCGTGGGCAAGCCAAGAACCACAGTATAATACTCCAGGCCATAAACAGCATGTGCAAAGGGCCTGAGACAGGGGAGAGCTGGGCTTGTTTGAGTTGCTGTAGGAAAGCCAGGGTGACAGAGAAAAGCAAGGAGACGGGAAGGAGCCATAATGTGGGAGAAGTAGATTCAGTCAGATGGAGCTTGATTAACTCAAGGAATCAGCGATTTGATATAAACAACTCATGTATTCGGTTTGTTTTTGTGTTCAAATTGCACCTTGGTTACTATCATGGCTTAATTATAACCCCTGAATTATGACATAAGTTCAGGTTTGGTCTATGCATGCCCTTCTTTATTTTTAAATGTGTTAATAATATAAAATAATATTATCCGCAAACTCACCACAGGTTCTTAACACTTCATTCTCACCGATAGCTTACGTCCACAGGGCTGCTTTGCGGCAGCACTGGGTTCCGTGGGAATGGTGACCCTTGGGGTGGTGTAACTCTCTGGCCCTCCTTACAAGGACCTATGTGTTTCCCCTGCCTGAGCAAACAGAATCCTAAGAGTTTTCTGCCTTTTATTTTAGTTTTAAGACTTACATAGGTATGAGAATGAACGATAGTCTTCCTTCTTAGAAAATTATATTACTATATTTTTTGATACTTGCTTTTTTCTCCCCAGTATTATGCTAAGTATCAGCCATGTTGAATACAGACATTGTTCATTCATTTTCAGGTCTACAATAGTCCATTATGTTAGTATACCACAGTTTATTTGTTCTTTTCTGGTCATTAGGCATTTGGAGTGTCTTCAGTTTTTGTTGAGCTAATCGGAGCTTAAGGAATATTCTTATACAAATTTCCTGGGACACAAAAATTACAAGTTTCTCTTGAGTAGATATATATATAGGGGCAGACTTGCTGAGCTATGGGATATGTATTAAACTTTTAAAACAATGCTAAATGTATGATGTTTTAGCAAATACAATATGGTTATTTCAGTTTCCCTTCCACTAGCAGTGCATGAGAGAATAATCCATATCATTTTTGGTGAGTCTGGTATTTTATCATTATGAAATAATCTCTATCTCTGGCAGTGCTTTTGACTAAATTCTGATACACACATACCACATCAGCTTTCTTTTGGTTAGTATCCTCCTGTACCTTTTTCCATTCCTTTATTTTCAGTTTTCTGTGTGCTTATCTTTAGGTGTGTCTTTTGAAACTATATATTGCTGGATTTTGTTTATTAATGCAATCTGACAATCTCATTTGTTTTATATGGCAAATTAGACCATAATTATTATTATTGATAAATTTGGACTTATTTCTGACTTTTTAATTTCTCTTAGTCTTTCTTTTCCTCTAATTCCTAATTCACCCTTTTCTGATTTTTAAAATTTAGTTTGTACATATGTGTTTATTTGCATTTATTTTACTCATCCCCCCCCACTAGCGGTGAATTTAAATACTTTATATTCTTTAATAATTTCCCCTAAATTTTTACTATATATTTTTAGGTTACCAAAGTGTTAAGAGTAAAATAAACTGACCACCCCCTGTCCCCAGCCTTGCCAAATAATAAAAGGATTCTGGAATACAGTAACTCAGACTTCCCTCTTCCCTGTTTAGATATTACTATTTAATGTTTTATATATATTTTTATTAACCCCACAATGTAGGTACTTCATGTATTTGCAGACACTATATATTCATGTAAATATATAGTTAAATATTTTAATTTATTTATTTTCAGAGAGAGGGGAAGGGAGGGAGAAAGAGAGGGAGCGAAATATTGATGTAAGAATGAAACATCTCGTACGTGCCCAGACCAGGGACTAAACTCGCAACCCAGGCATGTGCCCTGACTGGGAATCAAACTGACGACCTTTCACTTTGTGGGATTACACCCAATCAACTGAGCTACACTGGTCAGGGCTAAATATAAATATATTTATATGTGTGCGGGTTTGTTTGTCAATGTATATGTGTGTACACACACCCAAAAACTCAGAAAGAGGGAGGGAGGGAGGAAGGAGAGAGAATATTTGGATTAACCTACATTTTTGTCATTTAATTCATTCACAATCATTTTTCATATTTCAGGACATGTTTTCTTCTTGAAATAGGCCCTTTTGGTGATCTTTTAGAGTAAATCTCTTGGTGTTAAACTCCTCCAGTTGCTCGCTTATTTTTTGTGTTACGGATTTGACTATCATTTCCATAATGAGTAGTGATCTTGAGCATCTTTTCATGTGCTTATTGCCATTCATATAATTTCTTTGAAGAAAATCTTATTCAAGTCCTTGCCCATTTTTGAATTGGTTGTTTTTTCTGTTGTTGAGTTTTTAGGAGTTCTCTATATATTCTTGAATGATAATATTGCTGAATGTATAATTCCAATTTGACATTTTCACAGTGTTTAAAAGTATTCCACTGTCTCCTGATTTCCATCGGAATTGTTGAGGAGTCTTGTGTTGTTCTGTCATTCCTTCAATTATCATCTCTGGACAATTTTGAGGTTTCATTTCCTTAGTCTGCGATATTCCACAGATTCACTATGGTATTTCCAGTTGTAGAAATCTTGGTACTTAGCCTATTTAGGGATTATTGGATCTATCGAGTCATGTTTTTCATCAGTTCTGGAAAATTTTGAACCATTATCTCTTTAAATACTGCTTTTTCTTCAGCCTCTCCATTTGTTTTTTATTAGATTCTAGGATTCCAAAATGACATGTTAGACCTTCTTTAACCTAGCCTCCTTATCTTTTAATACTTTTAAAATAATTTCCATCATCTGCACCTCTTTTTGGCAGCATTCCATATAAATTCTTTGGATACAGCCTCCAGTTTACTAGTTTTCACTTTAAACAGGTCTAATCAACAAGTTTCTTATTCATTTGCTTTTGATTTCATCAGTTACATTTTTGTGTGTGTGTTTCTAGAAGCACCAATTAGTTGGGGTTTTTTTTTTCCTTTTTATTTCTGGTAATTTCCTTTCCACAGGCTAAGGCCTGTGATTGTAGCCTTCACTGAGCACTTAAAATTAAATACCTCATAGGTAGCTCTTCTTCATTGTATCTGACAGTTCTAACCTCTACACCTCTTAAGGGCCAAAATCTGTTTTTTTCTGTTGATGACCATGCATTCTGCCTTACCATCTTCTAGATTTGGTTATCTGCACCTAGGTCACATTTGATTTTAACACCCTGCTGCCTGCACCCGCCCCCCGCCCCATCCCATTTGTTCAGGTTCCGCTCAGAATCCCTGCTGTTCTAGTGGACCCCATGAATTAGGTGTTGGCTCCATGGTTCCTGAGTCCCTAAGGCTCCAGTGATTCCTGCCTGGGATTCTGGTGTCTTGTCCAAGAAAGGCCCAACCTCACTGGCTTGGGAGAGGATCTTGTGTATTTGCTCATTTACTTTGATTTTACAATATGTGTGGTGAGTGGGGAGAGTCTGTAAGGGTTTTCTTGTGATGCCAAGAAAGCCTCAAAGATTGTTTCATGTCTAGTTGTTGAATGAAAGTGAATATATTTAATGGCACTGAAATGTACACCTAAAATGGCTAAATGGTAAATTTTAGTCATGCATTTTATGATAATAAAACAACAATAAAAACAATGCCAACATTAAAAAGATAAGTTTCAGTTAGACAAATATATAGTTTGGCTTACAGTATTTTTTTATTTCATTTAGAAATACTATTGCCTTATTCCCTACCTATAACATGACACAGATCATGGAGCTATAGCTTCTGCCTTTTAATTTTGTCAATTATAACTATTCATAGAGTACTGGCAAGGGCTTCTAGAAAAATCCTTTTGATTAAAGATAGTTGAAGAAAAAAGGCAATAGAAAAATATATTGAGTCTATGTAAAAAACAGTGCTTCTCACTTTAAGAGAAAATAAATTATAACCCTGACTGGGCTGCTCAGTTGGTCGAAGCCTTGTCCCATACAACAAACGGTTGTAAGTTTGATTCCCGGTGAGGGCACATACCTAGTTTGCGGGTTCAAACCCTGGTCAGGGTGCATATGGGAAGCAACCAATCAATATCTCCCTCTCACAATGTTTCTCTCTCCCTTCCTCTCTCTCTAAAATCAATAAACGTATCCGTGGATGAGCATTAAAAAAATTTTTTTAAAGAGCAACTAAATTATACATACAGCGAAAAGGTGCCTAAAATATTTACAGGGAATTATTATTTTAAAGTTGAAGCAGAAAGAAAATAACAACAACAGCCAGCAAGTAACAATGCAATGGAAAAAATAAACCTGTTCCGGCTGGAATTTGAATCCCAACTCCATTACTTACTATGTGGCTTTGAGAAGGGGCCTCTATTTTTTAATGTATAAAATGCAGCTCAGCTGGACTCTGGTGAGCTGTGACATGTCTGAGCAGTCCAGCAAATGAACAATGAGCCATAATGGAAGTAATGATCATTTAGTACTTAGTTCAGAGTAAAGCAAGAGTTAAAACCCAGAGAAACGCTAAATCCATGCATGAAAGACTCCTGCAGTTATACGGACCCAGGGCAGGAGGGTACACTACTGAACACTGAAGCAGACTGGGAGTATCATCAAATCCCCACTCGCCCATAAGGGGGTCTTCACAGTGACTTCCAAGAAGACCTCAGCAGGAGGACCGAGACGAAGAGGTCACCAGACGGAAGCACCTGGGTTCTCAGTGTAAACACGTGTAAAAGCATGGCCAGGCAGGCGGACCCGAGGCATTGACTGCAACTTCTTTCAGAGCCTGCAGTGCATGCATGGGCTGTGCGCCCCATCTGGAGCGGGGAGGGCAGCTTTCCCCCACGAGGCCTGCTAGGAAAAGCTTGTATAACTCAGGTGATCCTAAAAGATCACAAATGATTTTCTGGGCCAGGAGCCAGGCTTCTCATCGGGGGAAAAAATAATCTATTCCTTCCTCTATGTGGGAGCAATAGGAATATGGCAACCAAATTCCCTCACCAGGGTGCTGGAGCCAAATGAAGCTTGGTTTAGTGTGTGATGTGGCCAAGCTGATGGTTTCCGGTCCCAGATCCAAGAAGCCTTGTCAGTTGCCCCCACTCACCTGGGTTAGGTGGGCTTTCATAGAAGGGAGGGCTTCACTGGTGTCCGGTCTGTTTCCTTTCAGGCAAATGAAGCAGATGCTGTGACACTGGATGGAGGTTTGGTGTTTGAGGCGGGTCTGGCTCCCTACAATCTGAAACCTGTAGTGGCAGAGTTCTATGGCTCCAAAGAAGGTACGTTTCCCTGGGAAACCTGGAGGCAGTTTGTGGCCATTGTTCTCCCCTGAGAGACGCTTGTTCTCTCCGGGTAGACTCGTGTTTTCCTTAGTCAGGTGACAGAAGAGTGAGTGGGCAATGAGGTGCCCTCCTGGCCACCACAGGCACAACTCGAGGCCTCTCTGCCTTTGGGCAGGTTGAGGACTGGTGCTAACACTGACCTTCTGGGCCAGGAAAGGGGCTCCCTGGAGAAACAGAGCAGGCTGGGCACAGCCAGACCTGAACCATTCGGGTTCAGAGCTGTAAAGAGAAGTCTCCAAGAACCACGGGTGCCTCATTCACAGGAGAGACCACCCTGGAGCACACACTTGGAGTCCCAACAGCCTTGTGTCTTTTCTGAGGGTAACCGGACTATCCCTGGGCCTGTGACAGGGGACAGGAAATAGTTGGAGTCAGGAATGTGGCCTCCGTGCCACAACTCCAGTTTCCTGGTAGGCTCGGGCTGGTACATGTAGGCAGACAACCCGCAGGGCCAGGGTAGGAAAAATCATTCAGGGCACATGTGCACGTGGCTTCTTGCCCGTGCTTGCCTGGAGAGTTATTACAAATGTCCCCTCTGTGGTCCTTTCTTTCCCTTCCAGCCTAGGAAACTCATCCTGATCCCTCCCTCTTTATGACCCAACCCAACATAAGACCCTAGTCAGGAGCCCAGCAGTGTTGAGCAGTGTTTCCCTGAGGCCCAGGTTGCTGGTCTTCCATTCACACTGTGTCTGCAGATCCACAAACCTTCTACTATGCTGTGGCGGTGGTGAAGAAGGGCAGCGGCTTCCAGCTGAACCAGCTCAAAGGCAAGAAGTCTTGCCACACGGGCTTAGGCAGGTCCGCAGGGTGGAATATCCCCATAGGCTTACTCTACCCGGAATTGCCTGAGCCACGTGAGCCTCTTCAGAAAGGTAAGCGGGCAGGAGGGTGAGTGTCCTCAGGCAGACGTCCCTTCTGTAGGTTCCCACGTAGTCCAGCCTGAGGTCACGCAGACAGGATCAGGTGTCACGTGTGATGACTCCTGGGGTGGAGGTGGGAGGTTAACCAGTTTTAGACTGGCCGGGTCTGCTCTACCAGCAGCGCTTGGGAGCTGTCAGCTGAGTTTTAGCTCTCCACAGCCCAGCGGAGGCTGTTTGGAGGAGTGGGCGCAAGAGCATCAGGCTTGACAGAGGGTTCCGGCAGGTCCAAGGTCACTGGGCCCTCGTGTCCACTCCCTGGGGTGCTTTCCTTTCTGTGGCTCATGGGTTTCCCATTCTGCTGGAGCTCTCTCTGGTGGCCATCTGCTGGCCATGCAGGCCTGCACCTGCCCAGCCGGGTCTGGCATCTTCTGGGCATGGCTTCCAGAAGAGACCTCTCTGAGCTGTTCCAATCTGACAAGGCAGGTGGGGAGCTGACAGCGACCTGAGACAGGCCTTTGCTGGTGGCAGGCACAGTCCTAATTCTGGGGAAGGGCAGGGAAAGGACAGGGGTTATTAACCCATCCCCCTTTGAACCCCTGATCTTGAGGTGGCAGCATACCTAAAGGCCAGCTGGGGCTGGTATGCTGGTTTTGCTCTGGTCACTCTCAGTTCACTCATGAGCCTGGGCTGGGAGCTGTAATTGTCTCTGGCCAGGCTGGCTCATGCCCTTTTTTCCACTTCTCTGTGTTGAGCAGCAGTGGGCAATTTCTTCGCGGGCAGCTGTGTCCCCGGTGCGGATGGTTCAGCCTTTCCCAAACTGTGTCAACTGTGTGCAGGAAAAGGGCCCAACAAGTGTGCCTTCTCTAACCACGAACCATACTTTGGCTACTCGGGTGCCCTCAAGTGAGTGAGACTGTCTGCTGGTTCATGGCAGCCAACACCTTCATTATCTTGAGGTTGGGAAACTCTCTCTGGACCACAGCAGAGTCCAGCTGGTAACAGGAGCATTTAGGAGGCCTATTTCCCTCACAGTGACTCAGTGATCCAGTTGTGTCTCCTAGGCAAGGCCAGTGCATGCTCCCTTCAGTGACATTGATAAGGAAGCCCCTTTTCTGGGAACTCTTGCATCCCCAGAGCCCTTGCATCTGGCCCAGTGTCTTCTCACTGTACTTGACAGAGCCTGAGGGGATAGGCATGTCCCTGGTGTCCAGGCCATATATCAGTGACTGGCCCTCTGTTTTCTATTGCAGCAGTCCCTTGTTCAATATACTGGCCTCTCTCCTGCTTCCCCTCATGGCCTCTGTGCAGATAGCTCACATGGCTTCTTTTCCCTTGGTTATACCCTATAGCTTTATAGTCAGCTAAGGGTACTTCTTCTCCAACAGGACATACTCTGACTTTATCCTCCATTTAAAAAGTTTGAAAACTCTGTACTAAAATGTCTTCAGTGCCTTTTACGGCTTTGGGGCACACAGCGAGGGACCTCTAACTCCTGTGAACTCATCCCTCCCACATCAGCAGTACCCTAGATATCAATGCCCCATGGTGCTTCCTCTGCTGTGGGACAGCAAAGAGGTCTCCACCAGGGTCTCCCCTAGTCCCAGGGCTGGACAGTGGGATCAGACCCTCAAGCCCAAGGAGAAGGGTCTGTCCTGCAGAAACCCTCCTAATGTATTTCTTCTCACAGGTGTCTAATAGACGATGCTGGGGAGGTTGCCTTTGTCAAGCACTTGACGATATTCGGTAAGGATAGAAGAAGAATTTGCAAATCCCCTCAAAGCAGCGGGCCTTCTCTTTTTCCTACCTCCTTTTTCATGCTCAGTAGTCAGATATGAGCACAATGTGTTCCTCCTTTATCATTGTTTGGGTTTCTACCTGCCCAGAGGTATGCGCTTGTAGGTTCCCTGCCTTGACTCTTGGGCCTCTTTCTAACATTCAACGTCCTGGATACAGGGACCCTTCCTTTTTTTAAGTGTTGCCATAGTAAGGGATTGGGGGCAGGTCTGGCCCACTCTAGCCTGTAGTTGGCCTGCTGAGATGAGTCCATTTATGGGGTATGGGACAGTCATCCCTGCATTTGGTATCAGAAGCTTCCTTGCTTATAACTGGTTGTGGGATTTTGAGCAAGTCATGTTCCTTATATTTTTTTTGGCCCTCAGTGTTCTCTCTAGGCTTCTCAGCTCATATATTTTATGACGCAATGGGATTTCAAAGGAGGGGTGGGGGGACCATAGCTCATGGCTTTGCCTGCAGTAGGTTCATGCGGGCTTTCCTTCCCCCAGAGACTGTTACAGACCAGGCTGAGAGGGAAAAGTATGAGCTGCTCTGCCTGGACAACACCCGGAGGTCAGTCAACGAATATGATAGATGCCACCTGGCCAGAGTCCCTTCCCATGCTGTTGTGGCCCGAAGTGTAGATGGCAAGGAGGACTTAATCTGGGAACTTCTCAATCAGGCCCAGGTACCAAATCCACTGTCCTCCTTCCTACTTAGTGGTCCTTTGCTTAGAGTTGGGGCATTTTCCTTTGTTCCTTTATTGCCACTATGGAACCTTCTGTTTTCAAGACATAGTGGGAATTATGCCACACATCAGCCACTTACCTAAAAGTTCCCAGCATTTTGTGACACCAAATCTCAGCATTCTTCTGAGTGGCACATGGCCCAGTCTTGCTTTATCATCTGCCAAACCTCTACATTTTGGACCAGTGATATAAAGATGCTTCTTATTGCTCCATTCCATTTCTTTCCATTTAAATCAGGCCTTCTAGGACAAGGGCAAACACTACTTCCCCCATGAGGCCTTCCATGACCTCCCCAGAAGGAAATGATCTCTTTTCTGATCTGACTGCAAGGGAGCCATTTGCACAACCAGCTTTACATCCCTAGAGCAGTGGGCCCTGGCTAGTGTGGCTCAGTAGATTGAGCATTGGCCTGCAAACCAAAAGGTTGCTGGTTTGATTCCCAGTCAGGGCACATGCCTGGGTTGTGGGCCCACTGCCCACAGTAGGGGACATGTGAGCAGCAGCCACACATTGATGTTTATCTCCTGCTCTTTCTCCTTCCCTTTCCCTCTCTTTAAAATAAAATAAATAAAATCTTTAGAAAAAAGAAAAATAATACATTCCTAGAGCAATGGAATGCCAGAAATGAGCCAACTATCTATCACCCAGCCCTCCCATCCACCCACCAAGAATTTAAGTGGCAACCACACAATGTCAGCCTCTGACGGGGATTCTTTTCTTGTACTCAGTAAGACAACAACCTGGCCAGGGAGACAAGCACAGAAACACATCCAGGGAAATAGGGCTGGGGGCGGAGAAGGTGATGAGTAGGAAAGAGCAGGCCTGACTGGCAGCTTGAAAATTTCATGTTTCAATTTAGGTTTATGGGATTTTTATTTTTCTTCACAACTTAGTCACTGTAGCCATTCATTGTTTTTTGTTTGTTTTTTTACTATAAACAGGAACATTATGGCAGAGGTAAATCTGAAGAGTTCCAGCTCTTCAGCTTCCCTGGTGGGAAAGACCTGCTGTTTAAGGACACTGCTCAAGGGTTTTTCAAGATCCCCCCTAAGATGGACTCACAGATGTACCTGGGATATGAGTATGTCACTGCTCTTGAGAACTTGAGGGAAGAGACACGTGAGTACTTGGGAAGGATCGTGTAACCTTAGGAGTTTGGAAACATGGTGTGGGTGGGAGCTTGGGAACCTGCCCTAATGTTATCTGCCCTACTTGTTGGACAGATGCTAAATGGCATTCGTCATCATGAGATGTGCCTGGGCATCACCAAAGGGCATTAAAAGAAATTCATTCTTAAAATGACATTATTTCCCTTGTATAAATCAGGGCTGCCCAACCACTCTGAAGTCAATTAGCCTGGCACAAAGTCAAAGAGAATGAAAATAATTGCCTCCCTGCAGCCAGTACATGATCAGCATGTGCCTTACTGAGGCTGGAGCTCTAGACAGGTCCATTCTGTTCATAAATTTCCTTGGGTCACTGGAGGTTTGTTTGATATTCACTCATTCAATAGACATTTATTGATTATCTGGCAATAAATTGTGCTAGGTGCTGTGTATATATATAATGGTGAGACAAACATATATTAGATTATGCTATCATGAAACTTTCTCACCAGTGGAGAAGATAAAGCTTCAATGAATAGTCATTCTATTGAATGATAAATTAAAAAGGAGAGTTTACTCAAAAGAAGCTATAAAACAAAAACAAAAAACAAAAAAACAACAGAGCAGAACAAAATATCATGGCCTTATGAAGTCATGGAAACAAAAACATGTCCTGGAGTTAAGGTAAGGTTTCCCTGAGGAAGTGACTCTTGAGCTGAGCCTGGAAGTTAAGTAGATGTTCTTTCATTCAGCAGACATTTATCGCACTGACCATGGGCCAGACGCTGTCCTGAACAATGAAGGTGCTATGGAGAAAAAGACAGGGATGGCCCTTGCCTGGCTGAGCTTATGTTCTCCTACAGGGAACAGACAATAAAGAATGAACAAATAAAGGAGAACAGCTCAAATGGTTACATGTTATTTCAAAAAGAAAAGGAAAAAAACTAACCTGAAGTCATAGAGTCCCCAGTAATTGGGAGGATGATAAGAAGTCAACCAAGAGATTGTTATTGCCTCTTTTCTAAGATGATTAATTCCTTGAACGGAATCTGTTTAGGCAAATCCCAGAATTTTCATGAATTCAGTTAGTAGCATTCATAACCAGCAGGCAGCTTCTGGTGCCTTTCTAAACACCCATTCTCTTTCTTATGCCCTAGGCCCACGTGTCCCAAAGAATGTATGTCAGAGTGTGAAGTGGTGTGCAGTAGGTCACCAGGAGAAGGCCAAATGTGATGAGTGGAGTATAAACAGTAATGGGAAAATAAATTGTGAATCAGCAGAGGTCACTGAAGACTGCATTGCCAAGATCATGGTATGTCATTCTTGCCTCCATAGGGCAGTATCCCTGCCACTGCTGCCTGCCTGCCCCTAAGGCTGTGGAAGTGTTCCTGGGAATGATATGAAAACCCAGAAATATTCAGATATGTGAATGAGGCAGCTAACTCATTGGGAAAAATGAGTTAAGAACCTTGCCCTCACTGTAGGAGCTCAGCTCCATAGAAGCTTCGGTACTTTTGAGCTTATAGATCTGATAGGCTCCTTGGGGCTGGGCTCCACTCATCTATCTTACAAAGGAAAATTCTTGGTGTTAGAAGGTTGTGGTGGGACTGTCTCAGAGACAGTGTGTCCTATTAGAGAACAGGCAGACTTAATGTGGGTCTTTGCTCCTGAGGAAACTAAGCAAGACACCCAGAATTGATCATCCATTCATGATGGTTTGGGTGAAAATGATAGTATATTTTATTTTCTATGTTGTGTGTGCCTGGCTGATCCTTTGGAGATCCAGAACTTGCAATGGCTGTCTTTGGGGTCATTTATGACCAGTGCTGGGAAGGCTGCTTCAGGAAACACTCAGAAGGACAAATGGGATAGTAAATGGCCTATTTTCATCTGTTGTGTTGTGCTGTGTCTTTGCAGAAAGGAGAAGCTGATGCCATGAGCTTGGATGGAGGGTTCATCTACATTGCGGGCAAGTGTGGTCTGGTGCCTGTCCTGGCAGAGAACTACAGTAAGTGGAAGAGGTTCCCCTCAGTGTTTTATTTCCTCCAGACCACAAAAAAAGGAAACAGGAAAATCATAGCCTGATTCATACCACATCGGCCATAAAGCTCTCGCTTACTGAGCACTTCCTATTTCCCAGGCTCTGGGCTCCCTCATCTCTAGTCCCCACAGTGATCTTGAAGGATAGATCTTCTATTATACTTTCCACCAGGGGAAATGGAGGCTTTGCATTGTGAAGTTCTAGCTAGAAGATATCCCAATGCAGAGAGTAGTTGGGATTCTCAGTTGGGATTCCTGGCAGAACTTGCTTACAAAACTCACACCTCTCCTATTGCTCTGATGCAGGGATTCAAGTATAGTAGGCAGAGACATCTGTGACTGACTCCAGAACAGACAGAGCAGGGAACTTGAAATTCATAATTTTGGGCTACTTTCTGTAGGCCAATGAGTTGAAGTGAACTTGCACAATCAAGAGAACTTGGGATTTTTGGGAATTGGTGATGTATAGTTTTCCTGGCCCTTTTTATTCTGATTTGCAACATGGGAAAGGTATGGTTTCCAATCAATAAATAAATATTTAATGATTTCTTCATTTTCTCTTCTCCAGAAGTTCATGACAATAACTGTGAGAACACACCAGAAGAAGGTGAGTTGGGATTGGTAACCTCATGAGTTTAAGATAAATTCCATTGCTTTTGGGAAAGGGGAAGGTAAGTTTAATTTAAAATCAAAAGTAGATAGGCAATGAAAGAGACCAATTTTTAGAATGTAAAAGAATCATGGAAAAATAGTAATCAGTACTGATGGTTACTCTTTTACACTTGCCATGACCTGCACAAAAGATTTCCCATTTAATCCTGTAAGGTAGGTCTTATCATCTTCTAAGGATGCATAAGAGGACCAATGGCTGACAGAGCTTACAAGCTGCCTAGGCTCCTATGTCCATTAAGCAAATCCACACCCTCCTTACCAGTCCTGACTGCCTTAAATTACAGTAGGCCTACATAGTTTCAGATGAGAGTTAGCACCAGTGCGGAGCCTTGTATATTTGTGGCTGGCAGGGATGAGGAGATAGGCTCACACAGACAGATATCTAGGAGTATAAAATTACCCAGTCTCCCAGCCAGGGCTGGGCTCAGAACCCAGGCCAACCTGGCTCTCACCCAGAGGTCTGGCTGGGGTAGATCTGGAGAGATGGGGTGGGAGCAATTCAGGAAGTCTTACACCACAGTGGGCGCTCAGTCCCAGAACCCCTGTGCTCAGGTCTCTCCAGGTTATTTTCTAGCTACTAGTGTGCAAGTCTGTTCTGTGACTTCCTCTGATTACAACCTCCGAGCCTTTCCCCATTACTCTAGGAGCAAAACATAGAAAGGCCTATTCTTACTCCATGGATAATATACTTTTTCTGGTTTTTTGTTGTAAACAATTTATTGAGTTAAATTAGAAAGCTGAAATCTTGGGTTGATGTTCTATTCCCATATTAAAGGATCAGCAACTATTTGCTGCAAAAGATGGCAGCTGACTTGATTTTGACATTTTCCACTTAACATATTTATTTTGGCACAAACCTGTAGTCTCCTTTTCACAAAATATCTGGCCAGAATATTCCCTGTAGTTTATTAGTCATGTACTACACTTTACTGATAATTGTTAGTGTATTAAATGTTGGAGTTACATGTACTCTCCTGCATTCATTCCTCTGATATTCCACAATGAGGAGTGCATTGCTGATTTATAATTTCAGTAGCTTTGTGCCTTTGGGAAGAATCATATATCAGCCATTGCTCTGATGATAATATATTCTTAGTATTTTGACTTTTTCAGTTCAGATTAATCTCCACCTGACAGGGTGACTTGGACTTCATCTTACGCAGTTATTGGGAAGGGCCTTTCAAAGACAGTTGGAATGATTCAGAATAATTTTGCTTCCAAAGGGAGATAGCAGGCTTTGACTGCAGAGAGACATGCTAGACAGCCTTGAGGTGTTAATACATCCCTTTTTTGGTGTCTTTCTGGTAGGGTATCTTGCTGTGGCCGTGGTTAAGTCATCGGCACCAGATGACCTCACCTGGAACACTCTAAAAGGCAGGAAGTCCTGTCACACTGCAGTAGATAGAACTGCTGGCTGGAATATCCCCATGGGCCTGCTCTACAACAGGATCAACAGCTGTGAATTTGGTGAGTGAATCCCAGGAGGTCACTATAGTCAGGGAAAGGCAGAAAGAGGTATACTAGAAAGAGAGTGGTATGGTACAAAGCACTGCAGCAGCCCTTGTTCTATAGCAGTTAAAATTTGGTTAAAGAGAACCTCAAGGAAATACCTAAAAGGGATGGTAGGCCTGGGGAGATGAATCAGAATGGTTCTTTTCGGTTGCTCATAATGGCTTACCTTTCTCTCTCCCAAAAAAAAGAGGAGAGGTGAGCAGTCCATACTGATATGATCATCAGAAATCCAGGCCCCTTCTCTTTTTCTGCTTTACCATTCTGAGCCGGAGGCCTCCATCTCCAAGGTCACCCATAATCTCCATCACATCCATAATCCAGGAAGCCTCAAGGAGCAAGGAGTAAGGGCAATTTAAAGTGTGTGCCACCCACTGTTAAATTCTTAAAGAAGCCATTCAGGAAATCTAACCCAGCTACTTACTTCAATTAACTTCTTTTTGCTCAGAACTTAGGTACATAGTCCACTCAGCAGTAGAAGAAACTGGAAATGTCATGTTTTATTTGGGCATGTTTCTGCCCAGATTAAACCAGATCTTGTTCTAAAAAAATTAAAAATAGGATTACCAGAGGATCTGGCAATTCCACTACTGGGTATTATCCAAAGAAAGCAAAAACACTAACTCAAAAAGATATATGCACTCCCATGGTCCCTGCAGTGTTATTTACAAGAGCCAAGACATGGAAACAGCCTAAGTGTCCATCAATAGATGAATGGATAAAGAAAATGTGAGATACACATACTGGAATATTATTCAACCATAAAAAAAAGGAAATCTTGCTATTTGCAATAACATGGATTTACCTCAAGGGTATTATAGTAAGTAAGTCAGGCAGAGAAAGACAGATACCATATAATCTCACTTATATGTGGAATCTTAAAAAAAAAAAAGAAAGAAACCAAACCAAGCTATTAGATACACAAAAGACATTGCTAGAGGCCAGGGGTGGGGTTTGGACAACATGGGTAAAGAAGATTAAAAGGTACAAACTTCCAGTTACAAAACAAATGTCATAGGGTGATGTACAGCATGGTGATTAAAGTTAATAATGCTGTGTTGCATATTTAAAAGTTGCTAAGAGAGATCTTAAATTTCTCATCAAAAGAAAAAGAATTTATAACTATGTAGGATGACAGATGTTAACTAGATTTATTGTGGAGATTGCTGTACAATATATTCATAATCATTATATTGTATACCCAAAACTGATATAATGTTAAATGTCAATTACATATCAATAAAATAATCAATGGAGAAAAAATTTAAGAACTAGATCTTTGTTACTAAGGAACAAGGGAAAATGACTATTGGGTCAACAACTACAATTCTGCTATAGGGCTTTCTAGGCAATATGAACATGTGGGATCTTCAGGTCTCTGTAAGGTCTTGGCGTACTCGACCTGTTTTGGGCCATACATGCCTTTTATGTGTTAGATTAAGGCCATTCATATTGACTTGGTTAGGAAAACCTGACTTCCTCTTGTCCTTCTGCACAGATAAATATTTCAGTCAAGGCTGTGCTCCTGGGTATGAGCCATCTTCCAATCTCTGTGCTCTGTGTATTGGCTCAGAAGGTAGCCCAGGAAAGGAGTGTCAACCCAACAACAATGAAAGATACTATGGCTATACCGGGGCTTTCAGGTAAGTCTTATAACATGGATATGAGTATAATAAAACCCCCAACTCTCACAAGATTCCTTTTTAGGAACTCAGGTGAGTTTCTTATGTTTCTAGCCTGTTAGTCCTGCATGTATCAGGGTGCCACATTCAGCAACCATACGAAGAACCCTGAGGTAAGGGGCACCCAGGCCCCTCCAGGACTCTTGCCTCCAGACCCGGCTGTCATAAACAGCAAAGACTGGAAGTATGATACAAATTAGAAATTCTCAACAGAGGGCAATTTGCCCTCTGGGGATATTTGGCAGTGTCTGGAGATGTTTTTGATTATCAAATAGGGCTGGGACAGGTTGGGGGGTGCTTCCGACATCTAATTGGTAGAGATTGCTAAACATCCTGCATGCATATGACAGCACTCTACAACAAAGAGTGATATGGTTCAAAATGTTACAAGTGCCAATGTGCAGGAACCCTAATATAGTTGAATACTATATTATTCATGTAACCTTCCATGTACCTTTGGGGAACCTACAACCATACTCACCTAGAAATATACAAAAGTAAAGTACATGATTTCTACATTCTCAGCTACAACTCTATTCCATGAAATGTTTATCATTTTTATAGAGACACCTGAGCACCTCATGACCTTGTGCTTTTTAGCTATCCTTTCTGATTCAGGCCTGTGTTACTTAGTAGCTCATGAATCCATCAACTTGCACAATGATGGTAGTACTGTAACTGAACTTCTCAGTAGTAAAGTAAAAGAACAAAGGTTATCCCTCACTGGAAAGGTACTCTCTAATATCCATTTTAATGCTAGGAAAATGATGTAGCTCTCTGTTGGAGAAACTGTGCCAGAATTTAAGCTTTAGTATGTGGAACCGAGATTTTATAACTACAAAGCAAATGGGAGGTTTTGTTTTCTTTTTCTTTATTACTTACATTTGTAATATATGTAAGATTAGTGATAATTTGTTATTAGTAATAATAGATTAATGATAGAAGGGGTGTCCCAATTGCTAATATTAGATGGCCAGCCCTAGATCTATAAGGTGGCCATCCTGAATGACAGGTGTATCTTGCTGACTTCCCTTCTTCTTCCTTCCTACCTTGCTCTCTTTAGGTGTCTGGTTGAAGCTGGAGACGTGGCTTTTGTGAAAGACCAGACTGTCATGCAGAACACTGAGGGTATGTGCACATGCTCCTCTGCCCCTAAAAGTTGGGGTTTCTGGGTTCCCTTGTGCTCTGGATGCCTGGTAGAAGTGTTATGGACTCTGTTAGGCTCCATAGATCTGATTCTCAACCTTTTTGTTCAGTGAAGACAGAATTTTTCACGAGGGTAAGCAGAATAATAAGGACTGTGAGGTTCCAGTGGACCTAAATTCTCTCCCAGGAACCCTCCCATGGATGCTGGCATTATGTTGCCTGTCCCCTAAATATTGCAGGGCACATTTCTGAAGAACAAGGATATCCTCTTATATCCCTACATTACAATTATCAAGATAAGGATATTTATATTAACATGGATTTAATACTCATCACATCCACAGTCCACATTCAAATTTTCTGAATCATTGCTAAAAGATGCTTTATAATTATTTCCAGGTCCAATATATATTCCAATATATTCTATGTCCACTGAAAAAAGCCTGGAGACAGTGGCACATCAGTAGCAAGATCTTGGATTCTAGAACCACCTCCAACAAAAGGAACCAGGGCCCCTTAGAACTATAGGTGATTCTAGAGCTGGGCAGGAAAAATATAAAGCGAGCTTGTTACAACATGGCGAAGTGCTCAGAGTCATGGACACATGAAAGCACACAGGAGACATTTTGAAGGACCATTTTGAAGGACCCATTGGCCAAATTTGGGACATTCTGAACATTAAAATAATAATAATAATAATATAAAAGATAATAACCCATTGGATAAAATAATACATGAGTTCACCCTGATTAAACAAATGAAGGTAAAAAGACAGATCTTCCTTATCATAGAATGCTAACTAATAAATGTAGAAATAATTATAGAGTTAAAAAATCACTGGCACCCAATATAGTAATAATTTATTCAGTCAAGAATCATTATTGGATACTAAAACTAGTGGGTAAATATTGGATGGCTATGAGATTAAAAAACAAAACAGAATTTTTAAAAAGTTGGTAAGAATGAGTACTTATCTGCCCACTCTGTCTTGCTAACTGCTTATAGAATCCACTATAGTCCACAAAGCTATTACCTCCTTCCTTTCCTCATGCCCCTTCACACAACCTCAGATTTTCCATGCAACTCATCTACAATGAACTAGTGTGGCACCGCCTCCTCCAAGAAGCCTTCCCTGATGGCACATGCACATTGACGACAGAATCCTCTGTCCATATTGCTAGTGTTTTTGAATTCATCACATTCTGTAATAAACTTTGGCCACAGGAAATCTTTGAGCTCTTTATTCCTCCTTTTATGTCTCAACATCTACTATAGTGTGTGGCATATAGAAGTTGCTGACAATTTACTTCGTTTGGCTAATCTTTCTTTCTTTCTTTCTTTCTTTCTTTCTTTCTTTCTTTCTTTCTTTCTTTCTTTCTTTCTTTCTTTCTATTATTTTTGCTTTTTTCTCTAAGGGCTGTCCTTTTTCCTGATATTGAGTGTTACCCTAAGACTGGTCCTTCGTACTTCTTGATTTCTTTTTGTACTCTTCTGAGTAGGGCTTCCCTCTCTAGGCTTCAACTCTCCACTGCTTGCAATGACTCCAAAAGCCTTACCTGCTGGGGGGCAATTTAGAGAAGTGGGCTAACCTCCCATCTAAAACCATCCCAGGATCTCTGTTTGCCATGTGGTAATGTGCAAAGTACACTGGCACAGCAACCTCAGCCTGTGTAAATCCAAGCTCCTCATATTCTCTCAAAAGCCAGTCCTTTTCCCACAGCCTCTGTCCTTATTGAAGACTTTACTGTATGCCCTGTCAGTCAAGCCTAGATTAGCTACTCAGTCAGTATATTTTTTGTTTCTTCAAAATATGTCTTTATTAATTCTGTAGTATGTTGTGATATAGAAGAATCAGGATACAAAAGCGTGTGGACTGTATGATCCAATTACTTCGATATGTCTGCATATTATGTGTATGCGTGTCAAAAAAGTCTAGAAGAAATGTACCAGTCTTGAAAGTGGTTGCTGTGGGATTGTAAATGCTTCAAAATTTTCTTCCTTAAACTATGTAGCACTTTACAAGTTACTTTTGTACAAAATCAAGGATTACTTTTACTGGAAAGAACAAGTTTTATCATGCTCTTCTAGATGCCCGCTGCTACCCTCCTCACCTACACTGAAGCTCCTCCCATCTCATTATTCTTAACTGTCCTGTTCCAGGCTCTGGCTCCTATATTAACATTGACTTTCATTCATAAATTCTCATAGACCCACTGTTTTGTCTTGCCAAGTGCCACACTCCATCGCACACTCGAGGCCTTTAGTGCGTGGGCGTGCCTCACTGGTTCAGCTCCACTGCCCAGGACTCAGACCCAGTGGGGCCATTTTCCTTTCATCCATTAGAAACACTAGGTTCATACCTGACTCTGGGTCTTACCAGTACCCTCCATCCTCCCCCCAAGAAGCACTGATTTCTCCTCCTCTCAATCCTACACATGTTACAACACACATGTAAAAACCTCGTCTCCTCCAGCTAGCTTCCCCTAATTGACATACTCACTGTGTTGGTTCTGAGCTCACACAGCATTTAGGGTGTGTTCCACAAAATAGAAAATGTTATTATCTGTGCCCTGAATTTTTGCTTTTGGTATGTGTGCTATTTTCCTCTCTCTAATAAGACTGAGTCTTGCAGAGAGCTGAGAACGTAGTATTACATAAATGCTTAGATTACATGTAGAATATATGGGTTTGGAGAGAACAGTGATGAATTTTATTTGGAAGGTGTTGAGCTGGAGGGACTGGTAAGAAAGGAAAGGAGAAATGTTAAAAGGTGAGTGGAGATGTATGCAGTTACTAGGCAGGGAGAGGCAGGCAATTTGGAGTTTTCTATTAAAACTAAAAGTGTACCTTTGGGGAATGTAGGAAACAGGTATTTTATCTTTATATACAAGTAATATAAAATTTTATAATAGTGAATTCATGTATTAGTTGTTCAATTAAATGAAGGAAACTAACTGGAAATTAAATTAGGAAAAAAATTGCAACACTGCATTTTTGGAGAGAAGTAAAAACTGGGAAAACATATTTGAGGTCTGTCTCTAGAAGAAGGAGCCAAAATCTTGAGAATGGGAGAGCTGTTCTTTTCTAGAGAGGATCCAGAGAAGATGAAGCAAAGGGCTGAGAACAGGATATGGACCTGTGTGCACAGAGGACTGCATATTTTCACACAGAGCCAGTATGAGTGAGTCAGACTTAAAGCACTGCTGCAGTTTCTGAAAGGGCTTCTGGCAAAGTTCTTTTGCTTCTTGGTGCAAGAAGATACAGCACAAAGATTTTCAACTAGTTGAGGGTCATGTTCTTTCTATGCTTGAGCAAGAGGTCCAAATGCCTTTGAATTTAGTAGAAATGAAGAACTTTCTGAACAGCATCCACAGGATATAGTCCACTCTTCCCTGGCTGGGTGGGGCAGGTTGGAAAGGGTGGTCACTAGGAATTCCTGCTAAGTCTCTTCCTCTCCACATCACTGTAACCTCAGTGTGTGTACTTCTGCTGGTCACTGGACCCAGGCCCTCCACTGGGTCTGTCATATCCCTCCGGAGACGGTCTTTGACCAAAGCCATCAGCTGTGGCTGACCCACCTTCTCTATCTCCAGGAAGGAATCCTGAAACTTGGGCTAAGAACCTAAAGCAGACGGATTTCAATCTGCTATGCACTGATGGTACCAGGAAGCCTGTGACTGATGCTGCGAACTGCCACCTAGCCCGATCCCCAAATCATGGTGTGGTCTCGAGGGAAGATAACGCAGCTTGTGTTCGCCAGGTGTTACTTGACCAGCAGGTATGAACCAGCCAGGGCCTCCCACCCTTTCTTTCTGGGTGGTGTGGCTTCTTTGGGGGGAACTCACAGCTAAATGCACCCTGCATTCCAGCATTCTCTTTCTGGAAACTGGAATTGGGAGGGCATGGATTGTGGAACTGGATCTCCAATGCCTGGCTCTCCTGGTCACTAGAGATAAGCCCCCATCTGACAAGAATGTCCTCAGGTCTGCCTTCTTGCTTGCCCTTAACCTTGCTTTGTGGTGCCCCTCATTTTCCGCATATATAATGTTGTTTTTTTTTTTTTAAATGAAGGAGACTGATTCTGTTTTCCAGACCTCCTTGACATAGGTCATAAAATGCAAATCTGTGTTTCTCTTGCTTAGACAGACTGAGAGTTACTCCAATATCCAGACGACACAAGACCCCTACCCTCACAGAGCTTCTTCTCTGGAACAAATAACCGACCCAGGCCAGACTTGGAGGGAAGAGGGGCTGTCTAAGTATTCTAATCTGAAAGGCTCCTCAACTCACATCACCACCTCCCCCTCAACCACAGCTTCCTGACTATTGATTCACCATTAGTTGTTTTCTTTTTGTTTTTTTTTTAAATTAAGATAGCATATCTCTGTGAGTCTTTTCAAGGTAACTGATAATAATAATTCAGATTTAATGAAGACTTCCTAGGTGCTAGGTGGAATGCTAAACTTTTTGTAATCATCATTTCACTTATAACCTTAAGAAGTCTGGAGTAATCAAGCTTCTTGCCCAAAATAGGATCAAAGATGTAGTCAAACATGAACTTGCAGCAACCACCTGTAGCACCCCTCACTGGGTGGCTCATGTTTAATATCTTCTCTGACAATAACAGGTGGAAGGGACATGTTTCTCTCCTCTCATTTCCCAGAAGCAGCCCTCACAGCCATGGCTAAGGAAGTACAGAGATCAGAGAAACTAGGAGTGAGTGGCTGGGTGGGAGGGACTTCACAGAGGAGGTAGGACTTCATGAAAGCATGGAGCCAGGGCTAAGCAAGGGCAAACTCCAGGCGAGGCTGGTGAGAGATCCTGAGGCATCCTCTGTAACTGCCCTTTCTTTCCAAAGCCATTTCCCAGCTTTCAGCCTCCTCCATCTCATCCATGGCAGTGTTCCTAGCTGCTCACTACCACAGGTCCTCATGCACTTTCTGTTCATTTGACAGGCCATGTTTGGAAAAAATGGAAGTATCTGCTTGCGTGACTTTTGCATGTTCCAATCTAAAACCAAGGACCTTCTGTTCAGGGATGATACAAAATGTTTGGCCAAACTTCAGGACAAAACAACATATGAATCATACTTAGGAGCAGAGTATGTCACGGCCGTGGCTAACCTGAAACAATGCTCAACTTCAAGTGAGTAGGAGGAACAGCACGGGGGAAAGCTACAAAGCAAATACGGGCAGGGCTCTGGGTGGTGGGTACAAAATGAGAAGTAGGCTACAGTCCTCAGGAGGTGACTAATGGACAAGATGAGTTAATGATGGAACAATTTGATCCCCAAACATAGGAAAGTCTAGCTATATGGGCAGATGGCAAGGAGGTCATGAGCAATGAAGTAGTGAACTGCCTGGATATGCAGGATTCTGAAGTGAGAGGTTTATGTGCCCATGCCCATTGCCATACACTAAAATCCTTTTTAGATACAGAGTTGCATTGTCCAATGCATAGGTAGCCCCTAGCTACATATGGCTATTTAACTTTAAATTAAATAAAATTTACAAAAAGAAAAATTTAGTTCCTCAGTCATACTCTCCACAATTCAAATGTTTAACTACGTGTGACTCCATATAGGTGGGCAAAGATAGCATTTCCGTCATCGCAGAAAGATCTTTAACACAGCACTACTCTTGAGAGTTTGAACAATGCTAAGTTCTGGTAACAGTAAAGTCATACATACTGCTCATCTGGAACACCAGTTTTCTCAGAGTTAAAATACAAAAAAATACACCTTTGCGCTTTATCTAAGTTGGCCTTTATTTAATCACTTGAAATCATTTGGAAGATATGGGAGAATAACATGGTTATAGGGTGAATATATGTCAACATTTGTATGCAAATAAGTGAACCATGGTCCTTAAAATACTGATTCCCAGGCCCTGGGGATACTGATTCAGCAAGTCTGTGCCACAGTCAGGGTTTCTGCATTTTAACAGCTACCCCACATACTTCTGATGTAAGGAACATGCTTGCCCATGGCCACAGCTGTGAGCACCTAGGTCATATTTATTTAAACTATATCCTCCAAGAGGGGAGAAAGTCTGGCTCTGCTATTCTCTGCTCCATCCCCAGCCCCTAGTACAGAAACTGGCACATGACAGGTGCCCAGTGCCTCTTGCTGTGGTAGTTCCGCACCTGCCTGAAGAGGTCAGGGAGAACAGTCCTTTCAATTTCCTTCCAGGCAGATGGGCTCAGGTATGGAGTTCTGCCTATAAGACACAAGGTGGGGGATGATGTAGAGCAGAGAAATCATGTTACCATCCTTGGCCTGGGGCACCACCTGCAATAGGCACAGAGGCCACGCTGGCAAGTGGAGCAACCACTAGGAGAATTACTGGTCCAGCTTTCAGAAGAGCAGGACTATGGTCTGAATGCTTTTGTATTCAAAACTAGCTGTTCATTCACTCAACAGATAATAAACATAGGTAGATATTAACGGTCCTACCTTTTCTCCTCTGCCCTTACAGAACTCCTGGAAGCCTGCACGTTCCACAGAGGTCGAAATCCAAAAGCGGGGCCATGACCTGATGGAGGTGGGAGCCCACGTGACCCGTCAGCTTCCCCTGGTCTTGCTGGCCTGAGTGGTTTGGCTGTGTTCATAGTTCAATGTTGCCATCTGCGCAGGAAATAAAATAAAATTTGTTATTGGTTTTACCTTTTCAAAACTTCATTGTTTCCTAAATGTTTATCCTAGAAGGATTTGTTTTACACTATCCAACTAAATACATAGGCAACTGAGTCCTTCCTTCAAAGCCAAAGATTCATCTGATCCTTCCCACAACTTTGGCTGTGGTGTTGGAGCCACACCTCCTAGATACAGTCCCAGTAGGAATTCTTCCTAAAAGGGGTCTGCATGGTCAATACCCTAGAATCCAGTGTATATCACCGTGTGTGTGTGTGTGTGTGTGTGTGTGTGTGTGTGTGTGTGTGTTGCTAGAGAAGGGGCAGGAGGGAGGATGCAGAGCAAGTTATTGAGATGGACTGTTCAAGGGAGTACTGAAAAAGAATATAAAATATTTATATATTTTAAAATATTTTTAAAGAATTTCATCAGGTCCTGATTCTAATTCATTGGAAAAATGAATCACTGGCACATCCTCTTGCTAAAAATCATCCTTTGACCCCGATTCCCACAGCAGTCATTGCCCTGTCTCCTCCCCTTACTTATTATAAGTAAGCTGTTCCCATGCCTCACTTATTGTTAATGGCTGCACATATGGAAATCAGTCTTCTGCTGAACTCACTTCTCCGTAGCTATCCTGGCTAAGGTCACTATCCACCTGCAGTTGTGAAAACCAATTTTAGTTCTTTCATTCTTGAGTCCATTTACTGCACTTGATGCAGCTGACCACTCACTTTTCCTTGGACCTCTCCCCAGCTTCTCTGTCCTGGCAGTTCTTAGGTCCATTTGTGGCCTTACTTTGGGCTCAGCCTGCCAGCTCTGCAACTGTAGGGAGTTCTTCCTGGAGTTCTTTTCTTGACCTAGCGCTCTCCTCACTTTGCAGCACCCCCCACCAAACAATGTGACTGATTCCTGGGCATCTATGTCTATATCCATATTTCTCTATGGACCCCTGTCTCTGATGTCTCCTCACTCATACCTCACTCATACCTCCTCCTCCATACAGGTTGCTGTAGAGTTCCCCCAGCAACCAGAAATCCAGCAAGTCAAAAACTGTGATGATCACCCTGCCCTTTCCTCTTCTGCTTCCCTAATCCAACTGCTGTTTACATTTATGAGTATTTCACATCAGCTACAGTCATGGTTTCTAGCCTCACAGGAGCCATAAAGTGAGGAGTGAAATTTCAACTAACAGTTTTCCTGCATTCCATGTCCAATGTCAGCAAGTTCTGTTGATTTTACCATCTAAACAACTCTCCTGTTTGCCTCTTTATTTCCTGATTCCTTCCACAGCCTCAGGAACAAAGCTGCAGATGGGGGTTTCTGGACACAATAGTCCATATATCCCTTAACTCTGCAGTGTCCACAGAAGCAGGATTCTAGATCCACTTTGCAGTGAAGACCTGATGCTGACTTTTTTACACACAGCCCTACTTTGCTTTGAGCCTATCAATACTCTGCCTTATTTAATACTCACCAAAACTCCACCCTTACCCCAAATCCTATAATAACTTTTCCTTTCTTTGGTGAGGTGCCCCATTGGGTGTGGTCTATCTTAATGCAATGAGTCAACAAATCTAAATTTGTCAACAGTGTATAGACAAATACACTGTTCTAAAGATGACAAATACAGCAGTGCTTGTTGTAGTCCCTTAAAATAATTTATGTGTATTTTTATTTGTTCCTCCTTCTAGACTGCCTTCTTATCACTAAATATGCACAGGAAAATGTCTGAAATAATGTTCACCAGATACTTATGATTTGCGGCTTTCTTCTTTGATCTGTCTTTATGGCTTGAGTTTTTAATATAATAACATAACTCATTTTAATTTTTTAAACATTTTTATCCTCACCCGAGGACATTTTTTTCATTGCTTTTAGAGAAAGAGGAAGGGAGGGATGGAAGGGGGTGGAGAGAGAGAGGGAGAGAGACATGGATGTGAGAGGGAAACATTGAGTAGGGTGCCTTCTCATATGCGCCCCAACCAAGGATCAAACCTGCAACCTGAGTATGTGTCCTGATGGAACACTGAACCCACAGCCTTTTTGATCTATGTGACAATACTCCAATCAACTGAGCCACACTGGCCAGGCCTCATTTTAATTCTTTAAAAAAAAAGTCCTTTAAATTTTTTTTTCCAAAAAGACAGAGTTAAAGAGATAAGTCAGGGAGGGTAATCACATGATTGGTGCCCCTGAGTCTGAAATAGGTTGCATTGTGCTTTGGAACTATTGGGAACAGGAAAGGAGATAAAAATGTATCTGGTAAATGAGACATTTTAATTAATAAGAGAAGGAAAAATTGTCTCACTATGTTTCACTGTAACTCTCCACCTGCTATTTGAATCAGGGAGCAGCACACTTTCAGCAAACAGCAGTCTGTATCTGCATGTCCTTCCTCTGCATTCATCCTCACAGAGTCTCCAGTGGACATGTGATAGGACTGGAAGCAGCTGATCCCATCCCCTCCTGCTCTCATTCCTGAGAATGGCAGCACCTGAATGTGGAAAGTGTGCACATTTCTTCAGCTTTCATTGTACCCAGGGAAGAACCGGAAAAAAAAAAACAACGCAGTGTCTTCTTAAACTCTCCTTTTATCATCCCCAAAGTTCATCACCAAGGCAGCACTATTTCATTCACACAGTTCTGACTAAAAATCCTTACGCAGTTAGGTCAGTGGTGGTATGTATTCTCAATGTCTCGCCCTTTCTCCTTTCCTGCATTTTCAGTCCCTAACAGAGGAATCAATGATTGTTATAAAAGAGGTGTGTGTTGGGTGGTGCATACAGAAGGGTTCAGGCCATAATAAAGAAAAGAAATAGAATGTGGTAAGATTACTGGTCAATTTTGAGTTTTGATTGATTATGTTAATTAAAATAAAGTAATTGGTTTACTTACTTTAACCTCATATTCTAAATGTACCTTCTTAACCTGGAGTCCCCATCGTCTATTTATTGATGAAATACCTGGGAGATTAATTGTACTATGTTAGAGAATATAGTTAAGCATAGAGAAGTCCAACTGCCTGGGATCAATGGGTAAGTTACTTAACCCCTGCCTCAGTTTGCCCTCTGTAAAATTGGGATCATGAGTCATTTTGAAGATTAGTAACTAATAAATTAAAAGTATTTAGAACAATGCCTTTTACTAGCAAGCATTTATTAATGTTAGCAATTATTCTCATTACCCACCCTCTTCGCCTATCGCAGTCTTCCTTCCATATCCATGCCCTGACCCATCCTCACCCTGCTGTTTCCCCTGAGCTCATTTTTTATTCAAGCCCTCAACACAGGATCCTCTGTTTTAGGCGACGCTGCTGACTAGGTCCAGAACACGTTTTACTCCTGTGTCATTGCTTCTCCCTTCTTAGGCTTCTTCATGGGTTCCTTTCTGCTTCTCACTCTTCATGCTCACCATGATTTTCATGGCTCCTTGTTTATGCATGACACCCAAATGAAAATCTAGCACCTACTGCTGAAACTTTACATTTGTTTCCTGTATCACCTACTTGATATAAGACTTTTGATTTCCCAGAGGCATGAGAAAATCAATATAGCCAAAAGAGGGGCAATATTCACTCTGGTTCTGTTCCGAGCTCCAGAATCTCTCCAAGTGAGTTTTCTAATTCACACTATACACTTTGAGAGTCCTGGTAACCCACACCAACCACCTTAGACGTAGTCTTGATAACTCTTCTCCTTAACTCAGAATGTCCATTACCACATCCTCTATACTTTCTTCCTAAGCATCTCTCAAATCTGTGTCCTCCACACCTACCTGTCTCTGGTTTAGACGCTGTGCATCTTTTGCCAAAATGCTGCAACAGCTCCCAGGTGATCATTCTGCCTCCAATACTTTCTTCCTCAAATGACAGTTCTCTGTTGACCTGCCAATCATGTACGTCACCTCCAGCTGAAACTTTTTATCACATTCTGTATATTGCAATAAGGTTCCTGCCAACTTTTCCTGATCATCTGTCACTGCTGCTGAAGTGACACCTGCTTAATGACATAGTCTGCAAACTGGCAACCCCTAGGTGGCCACTTCTGGCCTGATAAATGTGTTTATTTGAGCCACAAGTGTTTTTTGTTTTGTTTTGTTTTTTAACATATTGATTTCTCTCTTTTTCTTTTCTTTTCTTTTCTTTCTTTCTTTCTTTCTTTCTTTCTTTTTTTTTTTTTTTTGAGAGAGAGAGGTTAAGATTTTTTTGGTTCCACTTATTTATGCATTCACTGGTTGATTCTTGTATGTGCCCTGATCAGGGACTGAGCCTGCAACCTTGGCACATTGGCACGACACTTTAACCAACTGAGCTACCCTGCCAGGACCTGGGCCACATGTTTTTTAATATTTGCCATTACTTGCTGAAGTTTGAAAAGTGGGAAATTTCCCATAAATATCTGCCTTTCTGGCTTCTCTTCAAAAACTGGAAGAACTGACCACCTTGGCCCCACATACCTGCCTGGCAGGGTTGTGGCTGCCACTTTGGGCAGGAATGGCAGCTGCAGTTTGCAACAGCTCCCTCCCTTCTCATTGATTTTTCCTGGCTGCTTCCTTTAAAGCAAACCACTCACACCCTGACTGAGGTGGCAGCGGATTGAGCGCCGGCCCGTAAACCTTAGAGTCGCCGGTTCGATTCCCAGTCAGGGCACATGCCTGGATTGTGGGCCAGGTTCCCCAGTAGGGGGCGTGTGAGAGGCAACCACACACCGATGTTTCTCTCTTTCTCTTTCTCCCCTACCCTTCCCCTCTCTCTAGAAATAAATGAATAAAATCTTAAAAAAACAAACAAACAGTAGACCACTCACGTGCAGCTCTGGATTTACAGCGTAGGGACACTGAGTTGCTCATTTTCTTCTGCAGAGAGCCCCCTTTCTCCTTAATTCCAGCAGAGGCTAATTCCACCATCATGGCTCATATCTGGTCACTTTCCTTCAGGAGCTTTTCTCCGAACCCATGATGGGCTAAGCGTCCTTTTCTATATTCCTACATCAAACCGTACATCTTCTTTCACATCCCATGCCACATTATATTCAGACGAAATATTTGTGTAATGTTCCTCACAAGACTCACCTCAGGAAAGGAGCGACTGACAATCTTCGGTGGAGATTTCTAGGGCCACTCATTTTACTCACCCAGAATTCTGCCAACAACCATAAAGAAGGGCGGCATCTTTGACCCATATCTTAAAGGATAAATGTGTCACTCCTTAAAAAACCTGTGGCTGTCCTCTCATTCGGTACAAACGCTCCGTACTACAAAAGAACTACAACTCCCATCAGGCCCTTCGGGTCCACTGCCCTCGAGGAGAAAATACAACTAAGGAACTACCACTCCCGTGATGCTCCGCCTCAGACGTCTACGCAAAGCCCAGGTACACGTTGCTTTCACGGCGCCGGAGACCACGCAGCTCAGTATGGCTTCCACGGATTCCCGGCGAATGGGGAATGGTGGTGGTGTCGGGGGCGCCTTCCAACCCTACCTAGACTCCTTGCGGCAGGAGTTGCAGCAGGGGGACCCGACTCTGCTGTCAGTGGTGGTGGCGCTTCTGGCGGTGCTGCTGACGTTGGGTAAAGAGGCGGCGGGTGGTTATGGAGGGTGCAGGGCGGGCGAGTCCGGCTTGGACTGGGAGGATGCCGGGCGGAGAAGGCACTTGGTGGGCGTCTAGTGCGGGAGTCTCACCCTTTATGACACCCTGTCCTCCTGCCTGAAGCAGCAGGAGCAGCGCTGCGGCCCCCGACGTGATGTCCTGGTCCTTAGGGCACTAATTACTCTTCCTTCTTCGGCCCCTGTTGAACTTGAGCGCGTGGTTTCCCTTTACATTGCTTTTACAACCGAGACTCTTCGCCTGTTTATTTCAAGTTTCAGCGTCTTGCGTTTGCGTGTTAATACGACAAGATTGCTCTTAAAAGAGTCCACAGTCGGGGTAGGGGGTTCACACATTAAGTTGACATTTGATAGTGGCTGTTAGTCAGTGGGGTCCCTAACAACAGTAATAACAATTATGGTGGTAATAACAATAAAAGTTTCAGGTGATAACGGTGTTCTGTGGTAGACTTAGGTTAATTTACTCACCCTAACCGTACACGCACACTATTATTAATAAGGCATAATTTGGTTTCTTTTTCTGTATTCCACAGTGTTCTGGAAGTTTATCCGGAGCAGAAGGAGCAGTCAAAGAGCTGTTCTTCTTGTTGGCCTTTGTGACTCCGGGAAAACACTGCTCTTTGTCAGAGTAAATGCTTTGATTTACATCTCTCTCGAATTTCATAGGAAAATTTAGGGCATCCCATTATTTTGGGGGTCATGGTTTATTTCGGAAAAGAAGCTGATGCTGATAAATTGGAGAGTTAATTCTTGAATCACTTGGGAGAACCGAAAGACTCTTGCAACGTAAACTAGAACTTTTTGACCATTTCTATTTTCTTGCACTTGCTAGATATTGGTATTTAGTCCTTGTCCCATTTAAAGGTTTTATGTAGCTACTTTCATGTCATAGCTAAGAGGCCAGGACTGGGGAAAAGATAGAAGATAATTGTTCTGTATGTTGTGTATAATTGGTTGTGCAGTATACTGTACTGATAGCTTTATACTCACCTGATAGCTTTTCAAAGACAATTTTTAAAAGGGTGATTCTTTGACATTGGGCTACGTAGGTTTCTTTTCACTACAATTTATTTTTAATCTATGTAGTATTAAACGTTTGGTTTTTTGCTCTGGAGAGTAGCAGAGGTTTTCTCATTGTTCTTCCTTTTGAGAGTATAAAAGATTTTCCTTCCACTAAAGAAATATAATCGTAAATTATTTTTAATAATTAAATAATGTTTTGGAAGGTTGGTAAATTTGGCCACACACCATTTGAAATTCTTACCTGAAAATAGTAGGGGTTTTCCCCCACTCAACTGGGTAGAGGGGAATAAAGTTTGCAGTTAGATTTTTCTACAAGTAAAGGGAAAAAACATGGTCTTTTTCATCTGTTGCAAACAACATTTAATTATTTGACCAGACACCTAGGAAGATTAGAACAAAATTACTCTCTTAAGGTTTTCTATTTCAGTGTTTACTGGGATCTCTCCCATGTTATTTTTCTTTACAGTTGTTAACAGGCCTTTACAGAGACACTCAGACTTCCATCACTGACAGCTCTGCTGTGTACAGAGTCAAGAATACCAGGGTAAGGGGCTTCTAGAATGCTGGGAGTCTGACAATTTTACTTTACTTGGGTGTGTCAGGAAAGGAGCTTTTAAGATAAATTAGTCTGAGTAGCTGATTTTTATAGGTAAATACAAGACATGTGACAAATTCTGCTCTTGACCATCCAGGCAACAGGTTTAATCGTGCCCTGCTCTGCTTTGTCGTACCTCAGTGTACATGTTACTAGTTTTTGTTTCTGAGTGTTAAGGGTGAGCATTAAGCCTTTTTTATTTTCATTTCTGTTTTGAATATGTAATACATGTATATAGGACAAAAAATTCAAAAGGTTGAAAAGGCTATTTGCTGAAAAGTAATTTGGCCTTTTCTGTCCCTATTACCCAGTCTTCTCCTTAGAGATAACTTCCTGTTTTCCTGTGTACCCTTTCAGATTGTCTATGCATATACAAATATCTCTATATTCTCTAATTTTTTTTCTTTTCAACACTCTGTTCTGCCTGTTATTTTATTTTTTCTCATTTAACAATAGGATTGATAAAGCTTGCATTTGATTTTTGTTTTTTCTCTCTCATGTGCACCTAGGTGATTTATGAGCTGTACAGTATTCCATTATATGGCTGTACCATACAATCAAGTCCTTATTTAATAAGAGCCCTATTAACAGACATTTAGTTTGTTGTTATAATCTTTTTCTTTTGCATACAGTTTGCAGTGGCTCTCAAGAGTATACATGAGTATATTTTTAAAGATACCAATAAGGAATTGTGAAGACTTTTTATGTACCCGTGTAGCTCTATAATGTTGATAATGACTGTCAAGCCAGCTGTGCTTCACAAGTATTTGGTGAGGGAGTGAAAGGAAGTCTGGGTGACTGGTTGGTGAGGGAGATGTATAGGTGGATGAGTTTGAGTGGTGCTCTTAGAGACCTCCCTTTCTTGCGTTCCCCCTACTTTTCTGATGCTTCCAGAATTATTGTAAGAAAAAATAGAGGTCCTTTTAAATGTCTTAGAGATGTTTTTGCTTTTTTCATTAATGGCACTCTTTGTGGCCCAGACCTTTTAAATTTCCAAGGATTCAGATTTTGAAATTTCACGTTTGGGAGATTTTTAATTCTTGGGGCACTTGCACCAGATTTTTTAAGTGGAGTATTCCAGGGTATGCCTTAGACCTATACTTTCCAATAGAGTTGCCACTGGCCACTTGCGGCTGTTGAGCACCTTGACATGTGACTAGTCCAAATTGAAGGGTACTATGTGTGTAAAATACACGCCAGATATTGAGAACTTGGAATGAAAAAAAGAATGTAAAATATTGATAATGTCTTGATTTTCTTAGTATATATTAAAAGGATAATTTACCTACAGCGTAGGGCAAAAGTAGGTTCACAGTTATGAGTACATGTAACAAGTTTATACTTGTATTATTGTTTATTAATTATTGGATTATTTTCCACATGAACAACTGTCAACCTACTTTTGCCCCATCCTGTATGTTGAATTAAATAATATATATTACTAAAATTAGTTGTACCTTTTTCTTTTTACTTTTTTAAGGTTTTCAGAAAATAATACATATGAGGCTTGCACATTTCTACTGAATATACAGAACATCCCTCCCTTCTTTTTTTACTCCTCTTACTCCTCTTATGTTTTAGATCTAGTCTATCTCTTAGCGTAGTAACCTATTATAATGTATCTTCTGGTAATGTATCTTCTGGGTTATTTTTAGCGTTTGGTGCAGAAGGTCCCAACCTGAGATCCCTAGGCTCTTACCTGTATTTCTTTTAAAAAGGCCAATACACATCATATTGTTACTCCTAAAAGACTGCACAGACTTAAGTGTCAGGTCATAATGAATCCGACTATACTTATATCAGACTGAGTGATGTGGACTCCCTCCTGTTAAACAGTGGTTAAGACTGACTATGGATAAAGTAGAACATCTGGGAAATGATCCATGGGTTTGATGGTACATGTGCCAGAGCTGTATCTGAGTGTCTTATCATTGAGCATAGCCACATCTACATTGAACCTGAGCTCAAGAATGAAGGCCTGGAAGGAATAGCTCCTAAATGGATGTTTAATGAGGCTGCTCAGTAGGTGTACAACCCCTCCCTGTTTCAATGATTGTCATCTGAATCAAGAATTGACACAAAATATTGACAAGATTAGCACAAATGTGCCTAGTACACATATTTAAAATTAAATTATGGTGGAAATGTAAAGGAATGTTTTGTTATAAAGACTGGGGATGCCTATAATGATAATATGCTTTGTAGTAAAGTATAGGGTCTTACATAATTTAGTTTGTGAACATTTATTACTGTTTTTCACATGTTTTTTGCTTTTATTTATACTAGCATATTTCCCTAGCCTTAGATGGACCATGCTTCCCGGACTCCCAGACAGGGTCAGGTTTCTCATTACCCTCAGAACATTTGTCAAAGTTGTAATTTTACATTGTTCATCTTTCTGATTATATTTTAAGACCTGTTAGAGCAGGGACCATGTCTGTTTTTGCTCATTGTTCCTTGACTGATGATTTATAAATAGAAGTGCTTAGAGTACATATGTTTGATTCATTAATTAATTAGAGTAAACATTCTTTTGATTAATCAATTGGCCACTATTCTGGTACCTGAAATCTGATATGAAAAGTTTATGTTGTGAATGTGAATCAGAATCGAAACATTAATTTAATGTTATTACTGCCATCCTTAGGGCACTAGCCTGACCTTGATCGACCTCCCTGGCCATGAGAGCTTGAGACTTCAGTTCCTAGAGCGGTTTAAGGCTTCAGCCCGGTGAGTAGGAAGTGGAATGTGTTTGTCTGACATCTGTCAAGACCACCCATGTCGTTTGCTCTGATGGTATTTGGGAAGCAGCCTGGTGTCCTGGAGTGGAAAGAACATGGAACCTAGGGTCAGCCAGTTCTAGGTTGCAACCCTGCCTTTACTAGGATTTTGTGAGGATTATATGAGTTAATGTTTGCTGTGTTTCTCAGAGTGTTCAGAAAGTGTTAACCCCTATTATCATGTTAGTAAAGTTTTTAGTTACTCTGAGGACAAATTTAATAATGCATAGAACTATTAAATCTGAAAAAGAATTTTAATTTTAAAGCTAGGTGGAATGCTAGAAGTTATTAAAACCTAACATGTTATATTTATATTTTTAAATTACCTAAAATCGCTGCCTCAAAAGTATGGAACAGTATTTTCGTATTTCTTTTAGTATTGTAATGGTACTGACTCTTATTTCCTAAAATTTTTGTGCTACAGTTTAAGATGCTTTATTCTTTAGTTTCAAACCCTAATACAAACTTGAAAATCAATATGTGAGATTTCAGTGATTTTTTTAATACCTATGAAATCGATATGCTCCTTAACAATTGATGGTGTCATAGTTTAATTCACAGTATTTTTTTCTTTCTTAGTTGTACTTGAAATAATAGTGTCTTTTAATTGATGGAATCTTAGGTTTGATGGGAAGAGGTGGTTTTTTTACTTATTTTTTAAAGATGTGACTTACATTTTGTTGATGCTTCATTGGCCGCAAGGTGGTGGTGTTGAGCGATCTATCACAGATGAGACTTGTGTGGTTTTAAAAAACAACTTTTTAGAATAGTTTCAGGTTCGTAGCAAAATTTGAAAGAGCTTTGCCATTTACCCCTACCCCCAAACATGGATAGCCTCCCCTGTTGTGGACATCCTCCACCAGATTGTTTCATTTGTTATAATTGATGAACCTACTTGGACACATCATAATCACTCAAGAGTCTGTATTTTACATTAGATTTCACTTCTGGTGTTATACATTCTACAGATTTGATTAAATGTATAACATTGTGTATTCACCATTATACTACCATACAGAGTAGTTTCACTGCCCTGAAAACCCTCTTTGTTCTGCCAGTTCATCCGTCTCTTTCCCCTAACTCCTGATAACCACTCTTTTTACTGTCTCCATAGTTTTGCCTTGTCTAGAATGTCATACATTGTGTAGCCTTTTCAGATTGATTTCTTTCAGTTACTAATATGCATTCAAGTTTCTTCCATGTCTTTAAATTGCTTGATAGCTCATTTCTTTTTAGTGCTGGCTAATAGGCCATTGTCTGGATGTACCAGAGTTTATCTTTTCATTCATCTATTGAAGGATGTATTGATTGCTTTCAAGTTTTGACAATTCTGAATAAAGCTGTCACAGATATCTATGTGCCGGTTTTTGTGTGGATCTAAGTATTTGGATAAACATCAAGGATCACAGTTGTGGAATCATGATAAGAGAGTATGTAGTTTTGTGAGATTGCCGAACTGTCTTCCAGAGTACCATTCTGCATTTACACCAGCAACAAATGAGAAGTTCAGTTGCTTTGCATTCTTGCCAGCATTCAATGTTGTCAGTGTACTGGATTTTGGTCATTCTAATAGGTATGTAGTGGTATCTAGTTGTTTTAATTTGCATTTTTCCCTGATGACATCATGTGGAGCATCTTTTCATATATTTATTTGCTACCTATATATTTTGTTTGGTGAGGTGTCATTAAAATCTTCAACCCATTTTTTGGTTGGGTTGTTTTCTAAGTGTTGAGTGTTAGGAATTCTTTATATATTTTGGATAACATCCTTTATCAGATAAAACTTTTGCAAATATTTTCTCCTGATCTGTGACTTCTTATTCTCTTGATGGTGACTTTTTAGAGCAGAAATTTTTGATCTTTAATGATGTCTAGTTAATCGATTCTTTTCATGGATTATTCCTTTGGTGTTGTGTCTAAAACTGATAGCCAAACCCAAGATCATCTAGGGTGGGGTTCATACAGCCTCCAAGTTGGGGAACCAGAAAGGTTCCTCCTCCTTTTTATTTCTTCTTCATCTGGTTGTTGATTATATCCTTTAATATCTTTTGTATTAAACCCATAATTTAGTGAGTAAATGGGTTTCCTGAGTTCTGTAAGCCACTCTAGCAAATTAATTGAACTCCTGATTTATAGCCAGTCAGTCAGAAGTACAGGTAACAACCTGGACTTGTGACTGGCATCTGAAGTCTCCTCAAGCAAATTACTTGAACTCAAGGGAGGAGTTGTAGGAACCCCTGATCTTTAGCCAGTTGATCAGAGTTATAGGTGATTCACATCTGACGTGGAGAGCAGACTTGTGGGACTGAGCCTTTAACCTGTGGAATCTTAGCTATTTCCAGGCAGATAGTGTCAAAATCGAGTTGAATTGTAGGACACGCAGCTGGTGTCAGGTGCATTGTTTGGTGGTGTGGAAACTTCATCCCCTACATTGGAATTGGGTTCAGAACCTGTTAATTGTGGTATATAATTCCTTTTATATACCGTTGGAGTCTATTTGTGAGTATTTTATTGGGGACTTTTACATTTATGCTCATGAGAGATATTCATCTGTAGTTTTCGTGCAGTGTCTTTGTCTGGTTTTGGTATTACAGTAATGCTGGCTGCATAGAATGAGTTAGGAAATACTCCCTCTGCTTCTGTTTTCTGAAAGAGATTGTAGGGAATTGGTATATTTTATTTTTTAATTTTTTAATTGAATATATCTGATATATAACATTATGTAAACTTCCTTAAATGTTTGCTAGACTTCACTAGTGAACTCTTATGTGCCTGGTATTTTCTGTTAGGAAGATTTTAAAATTTTGATTCAGTTTCTTTAATAGATGTAGGCCTATTCAGATTGTTTAGTTCTTGTGTGAGTTTGGTAGATTGCGTCTTTTAAGGAGCTGGACCATTTCACCTAGGTTATCAAATTTTGTCAGTGTAGAGTTGTTCACAGCATTTCTTGATTATCCTTTTGTCCATGGGATCTGTAGTAATGTCCCCTCTCATTTCTGATGTAAGCAATTTGTGTTCTGTTTTTCCTTTCTTAGTTAGCCTGACTAGAAGTTTATTAATTTTACTGATTTTTTTCTCCCAAAGAACCAGCTTTTGTGTTTGTTGATGCTCTCTATGGATTTCCAGCTATCAGTTTCATTGATTTCTGCTCTTTTATTTCTTCTGCTTATCTTAAATTTAATTTGCTCTTAATTGTTCCAGCTTCCTAAGGTAGAAGCTTAGATTATTGATTTTAGGCCATGCCATAAATTTCACAGGGTATAGAATTCTATTGTTGGGCTTTTTCTCAAGAAAAATTAAGTATATAGTTTCTCATACAATGCTGTACTATTGCATGCTCACGTGTTGATTTTCTTCCCCCTCCACTGCATACAAGGGCTGTCGTGTTTGTTGTGGACAGTGCAGCCTTCCAGCGAGAGGTGAAAGATGTGGCCGAGTTTCTGTATCAAGTCTTAATTGACAGCATGGGCCTGAAGAGCACACCATCATTCTTAATCGCCTGCAACAAGCAAGGTACCATCATATTTTCTGGCAATAATTATTAAGATTTTTCTGAGATTGCTGCTAAGAATTAATAGAGCTCTCTAAAACTATTATTCAGGATGAGAGACAATTGCTAATGAGCTATAAATTGAAGGATTTTAATCTTAAAATTTATTTATTCTCCTGCATTTTTATTAGTCTACTTACCAGGCTATTCTAAGGAATGACAAAGGAGTGACTATTATCAATTATTCTTTGATACTGTGTTTTGCTTTTTTTAAATTATATATCATCTTTTCCTAGTTATCAGATTGACAGTGTGCTATGTCAGATACTCAGTTTTAGAGGGACAAGTGGAGTCTGTCCTTTAAAAAAAGTTTACCATCCAGGGCATTTCATCAAGGAGAGTTTGCAAAAGTTGTTTTTCTTTAACCTGATAACTATTAAAAACTTTTTAATCACACTCAATAAAACTAGGCTTCAGTTTCATTACTTCTAAAATAAGATAGACTAGTTGATCTTTACAGGCCTCTTTCAGATCTAAAGAGCCCAGCACATTTCTCAGAAATGATCAGGTAATAATCAGCTTTATGCCAAACCAGTGCTTGTTTCTTACCTATATGCACTTCATGCTGTAACATACCATTTTAGTATCAGTTGGAAATGTGCTTAGTTTACTTTTATATGACAGGTTAGGGTATCTATGTTGTAGTGAAGACTCTTGTTATAATCACAAAGCTGGTAGATTTTTACTTTTTTACACTGGCTGGACTTATATATTGATTTAAAGGGTCTGTAAGGTGCGGAAACTTTCATGAAGGAGCTAGTCAGTTTAATAGTCACCAGCTTAATATATTTGTAAGCATTACAGAAAAACCCATACAACCAAATGTCAAGTTTACATTGGTAATAAAGCTACTAGTGATAAAAAGTGTTTCTATTTTCTTTTTTAATGGTGTGGGGAGTAGAAATTTACTGGTTTAAATAGGACTTTTCCGTATGTACAAGAAGTCTTGGGAAAAGACCCTTTCTGGTTTAAATTACAAGTGTCTTCATTTCTTTACAGACATTACAATGGCAAAATCAGCAAAGTTAATTCAGCAGCAGCTTGAGAAAGAACTGTAAGTCTGAATAAGTTCTGTTGGTTAATATCTAAAGGACAGCTTTACTGTTTTTTTAACAGTGTAAGATTCTTGGTTGGCATTTTTTTTTCTTTCAGCATTTTGAATATATCATCCCACTCTTGGTCTGCAAGCTTTAGTCTTATGTGGTTTCCCTCGTTTGTAACAATTGGCTTTTGTCTTGCTGCTTTCAAAATTCTGTCTCTATCTTTGACTTCTCTTAGTTCAATTATAATGTATCTCTGTGAAGCTCTCTTTAACTTAGTCACAGTTCTTTGGGCTTAATGGGTCTAGATGTTCATATCCCTCTCCAGATTTGAGGTTTTTTTGTCATTCATTCTTTTTTTAATCCTCACCTGTGAGGATATGTTTATTGATTTGAGAAGGGGGGAGAGAGAGAGAGAAACACGGATGTGAGAGAAACATTGATTGGTTACCTTCCATACACACCCCGACTAGGGATCAAACCTGCAACCTAGGTATACCTAGGTATGTGCCCTGACTGGGGATTAAATCTGTGACCTTTTTGGTGTATAGGATGATGCTCCAACCAACCCAGCCACCCAATCAGGGCTGTCGTTATTTTTTAAATAAGTTTTCGGCTTCTTTGTCTTTCTCTGTTCTTCTGGGTCTCCCACAGTGATGTCACATAAGTATGTGGGCTTTCTTCACTCTTTGCTTTTTGATCTGCTCATTGGGTAATTTCAGATTATGTCTTTAAGCTCTCTGATTCTTCTGCTTCTGGCTGATCAAGTCTGCTGTGGAAGCTCTGAAGTTTTTTACATCAGTCATTGTATTCTTCAGTTTCAGAATTTTTTTTATGATTTCCATCTTTCTTTTGAACTTCTCATTTTGCTTATATATTGTCTTCTTCATTTTGTTGAGTTGTATTCTTCTGCAGCTTACTGAACTTTTAGATGTCTATTTTGAATTCTTTGTCAGTCAGTTTGTAGATCTCCATTTCTTCAGGGTCAGTTATTGGTGCTTTATTTTGTTTCTTTGGTGGTGTCATGTTTCCCTGATTTTTCGTGATCTTTGTGTCCTTCCATTGGTCTCTGCACATTTGAAAAAGTAAATACTTCTAGTCCTTACTGACTAGCTTTGTAAGAGAAAGCCCTTCTCCAGTCAGTCCAGCCAGAGATTTTGGGTGGGCTTGCTGCCAGAGTCCTTCAGCAGGACGGCCTGGCTTGTGGGCCCATGGGGTGGTGGGAAGTTGGCCTGGCACTTGGGTCCGCTTGGGCAGACCTGTGCAGTGGTCTACTGAGGTAGGCCTGGAGCCTGGACCCAAAGGAGGGGGCCTGGGGCAAGAGGGGCCGGTCTGGTGCTGGGTTCCACAGAACAGTGCCTACTCACTTCAAACTCTTTAGCCCACACGGAGTGTATCTCTCCACGCTACACTGTGCAGGCTTGCGGAAGTAATCTTGGTAATGTGAGGCTGTCCTTTCCACCCTCTTCAACACATCTTTTATTTCTGTGCTACACCCAGGTGCTCTGACCTGGATTCCTTAGCTCTCATGAAGGCATTTTCATGCGCGGATGGTTATTCAAATTGATGTTTCTGTGAGAGGACTTGTGCCGGAAACTCCTCTTCTGCCTTCTTGCTGATGTCACTTTCAATGGCTTTTCTCCTTCTGAAATTGCATGATAATCAGCTCTTCCTGTTCTCTTCATGCTCACTCTTTGGAGATTCTATAGTGTTTGTCATTAGGCTAAGGAAATTGAAACAGATGATTTGGTGTTTCTAAATATTCTGTTGTAATTGTTGGAAATTACCTTTGGAAGAAAGCAATCATATTATTTGTGTATCCTCTCTTTTTGTTTTTTCCAAACAGTTTTTTTAACAGTCCAAGTCTTCCCATGTTTAAAACGCAAGTTTTCCATAGTCTTTTCGCTTTTCACTCTAAAGAGCCATAGAAAACAATGTAGAAGAAAATGCTATGTTGTAATGAAATGAAGGAAAATGTTAAGGAGTTGTAAGGATTAGTTTCAGTTAAATTAGGAGAGTAATTTTAGTTTAATCCCATATTAGTGAGAATTAGGCTCCATCAGCTCTGAAGCATTTCAGTCTTCTGAATAACAAGGTTTATTGTATTTAGATGGCCTTATGGCAAGAGCTGAATACATACAATACTTGGGTTTTTTCCTTTTTTTTTTAAACTACAAAATATCTTATATAAAGGTATATACATGACACATATGTTGAATTTAAAGAGTACTTGAACAAATACCTATGAAAGTCTACTTAGGCGCTCCTTCCCAAAAGTTTTAGGTCCTATATATGTGCTCTTCGCAAAAGGGCATGTATTCCTCTGCCTCTAGGTAGCAGAATGAGTGGAAGTAGGCAGGTGAGCATTGCTTACACACTGTTTATTAGCGCCAGCAGGTGGCAGTAAGGCAATTTAAAGTGCCAAAGTTTTAGTGGTTAAAGAGGTTGGATAATAGTAATTGTGCCCAAATAGGATAGGAGAATCTGGAGTTTGTGGATTTCTAAACTTTATATCTAAAAGACTCCATATGAAAATAAATACCTTATCTACCCACATTTAAATTTCAGAAACTTATATTTTTATAACACTCATAGCATATATTTAAAAATGGCATGAAGCAGATCTTTGTGGAAGGGGGAGCTGGGCTGAAAGAAGGTTGGTGTGACCTGGGCCCTTTATTGCTGTCATAGCCTGTAAGGTTGGACCCTCATCTCACCTTTTTGTCCAAGGGAGTGATCTATGAATGCATAGGGCTATTCAACAGTCAATATAGCGTAATTGACAGTTTTATGATTAGGTATTTAAATGAGTGCTGAAATATTTAAGAAATAATTTGATTTCCTAAAGACCTTTAATTGTGCTATTAAAAAAGAAATACTTTTGGCTTCCTGACTCGTTTCCTTTTGCCTCACAGCAACACCTTACGAGTCACCCGCACTGCTGCCCCCAGCACACTGGACAGTTCCAGCACAGCATCTGCTCATCTGGGAAAGAAAGGCAAAGACTTTGAATTCTCACAGTTGCCCCTCAAAGTGGAGTTCCTGGAGTGTAGTGCCAAGGGCGGAAGAGGGGATGCTGGCTCTGCTGACATCCAGGACTTGGAGAAGTGGCTGGCTAAAATCGCCTGAGGGTCGCATCCAAACCACAAGCCAGTGGCTGTGTATGTGGTGACTGACAGTTTTGGGAAAGGGTGTGGTTAGAAAATTTCTGTGTTCTGGAGACAAACTGGTGAATCCAGCTTGGAATATTTTTTAAGTTCAGTTCCTCTTAATTGTTCCCCAACTTGTCACTTTTATTTGACTCGTGTGCGTTCCCTTTGTTAAAGGGTATGTGACATCTCTTTAGTGTTTGCTTGATGTGGGTCAAGGTCTCTGTGACCCTAATAGTCGGACTCCACACAGAGAAGATATCATCATGAGAAATGGTTATCGTCTGAGTTTTCTTACCTTGTGCTTTGGTCCCTTTTTCCTGGAAACAAACCTGTCTGTTTATGGAACCAGTTAATTTCCAGTTAGTCTTGAAATTCATGGACAGTACATCATCTAGTTCATTGTGAATTCTCAGATTTGTAGATAAAATTACAATATGGTCTTCTGACATATGAAGACAGGTAGAAACCACAAGGCTCTGTTGACATTGGGTCTTTTCTTTATCAGCTCAGTGACTTGTCCACACTCCAGCCTCATAGTGCTTAAGTTTGGAAACATGTCACAAACCCTTGGAATAAATCATTCCCAGATGATAGCACTCTTAAGTGCTGAATCTCCAAGTGCCAAGGGTCTAGTGTGTTCTAGTGGTTTCCCCTAACTAGAGAGTATATGGAGACTTAGAAGCTCTTCTGTTTTTCTGAGTGACTGAGGGCTCCTAAACTATGTTCCTGTGCTGTTTGATCAGCTCCTACTTTATACTCTTAGCTAGAATGCTGTGGAACAAACCTGAAAGGCACATTGAATATGAAATTTCATTTTCATACAAAATGAAAAATGTTCACTGTAGATTTTTAGTGTACATATCCACTGCTGGTTAAAAAAAGTCTTCCTTTCAAAATGATCTTCTTTTCTGTCTTAAATGTATGGCTTTTATAAATTATTAACATGTCTCAGTAAATAAAACCACCGGTCTGGCTCAAAGCAATTAAATAGAATAGTATAGTGAGTACAAATGGGAGTGTGTGTTTGGATTCAGGCCCAACTCTTACATCCCCAGGGCCTAAAGATTACCGTGTATAGAAGAGCAAACTCTTCTATCTCTGCTTCACACACTCATGTAAAAGCCCAACTAAAGCTTAAAAGGAGATAAGGGTGGCTGTGGATAAGTGGGAAGCTAGCTCCAGAACAGGGTGGTAAGAACCCTAACAGAAGTATAGGGTGCTCTGGGAGCATGCGGCAGGGACACCTGCCTAGCCTTGGATCAGGGAAGGTTGAATAAAAGCATGGGGCCGATAACATCCCAGTGAGTATAGTCCCCATGCACACTGCAGGCCATGCCTCTGCCTGTTGTTGCCCTTTCTGTGGGCCACTCTAGCTCTCCTCCTGCCCTGACCCCCAGACTCTCTCCTGCACCTTCCTGCTGGTGTATGAAATTACTGCAAGCTGAAATTGAGAAGCTGTCAGGTCTTGACCCTGAAAGGGTTCTTTTTTGAATGCCTCACTGCTCCCAGTGTTCTTACTGTCCTATGTACTCTTGGTTCTTACTCTTTCCTTAGACTCACCAAGTAGTAATTTAAGGAAGCAGGAACAATGAACCAGAAATCAGAGTAATGTGATGCATGTGACATGTTCGCATAACCATAGTAGGTGCTCAAGTGAGTAAAAATGACTTGCTGCTGCTGTTAACAGGCATGGGTCCCCTGTGTGAGGGAATGGACATGGTCTATTGTCTTTGAGATCATTTCAGCCTGAACGTTAGTCATACTGTTGTTTTTTTTAAGATTTGAGTTTAGCACAGAATTATCCAAGCTTCAATTGGTTTGTGCCCATTTTCACCTTAAGGATATTAAAATGCTTACCTCTTCTTTCAGACCTTCACATATTTAAAGGTGGTTACCACCTTGGCTTTTGCACAGGAAAGTAATCCCACTCTTTTCAGATCAGATCGGGCACGTTCAGGGTGGTATGGCCGTAGACTACACTCTTAAACTGTAAAGCCCTAAATTCTTGATTACTCACTAGAGCCTTGTATGGTGTGCGTTCATTCAGAAAAAGCCAAGCATTGTGCCAGGCTGTAGGAACACTGAATACAGCATAATTCCTGTTTCTCAAGGTGTATGGTCCCATCCTGAGGTGGAAGAAAATGTGCCCTTTTAGCGTGGCACCCCTTCTCCTCCCTCATCAGTGCGATCTCCACTGTGGCTGTGCTGGACCCCTGAGCACTGCGTGGACCCCATCGTCGACTGTGTCAGTGCTACCCTCACCTCTGTTCTTGATACCCTTGTGTCCTCCGGCAGCTTTGCCAGCCACACAGCTCCGATAGGGCTGCCACGTCTTCCTATGGCTTGTGTCTCAGCGCTTCCTGGGATTCCAGTGTCTCCCTATGGTCCTGTTAGCGTGAGGCACTTGGTGTTGTGTTGACTTAGGATCATTTTGTTTCAACTGAACTAGGCCTTTTTTTTTTCTTTTTTAATTAGAGGTTAGCATAGGATCATCGAAGTTGCTAGATAGTCATGAGTATAATGCCACTGTCACTGAGATTATTCACTCCCCTTGCTGTCTGACGGCATGTTACCCTGAATACCATAATCGTGGGGAATTTATGGTTCACCTTAAATTTTTGAAACAGCCTTACTCTGGCTTTCATCTGGTCCATCCCAGCAAGTGCACTGTGGCTCTCAGGCCTCCCTGCCTTTTTACATCCCTCTATACCTCTTCCAACCTCACATTTTACATCTGGAAGCCAGTAAAAGTTGGGCTTTTTGGGCAGGGACATCTGTTTCCTGTAACTAGATGGTTCCCTTGAGATGGCAGATTGGAGGGTGTTCCACAAACTTTAGAACCATTACAGGGGAAAGAAAATTAATGGAGTTGAACTTGAATGAGACCTGATGAACTTGGCTTACTCTACAGGCCTCAGGATTCCTAGGTCAGGGCAGTTCTCTGCCTGATCATGGCCTTTGTGTTCTCTTTGGATTAATTCCACAACTCTCCTTTCTTTTCGGGCATCTTTTAGTCCGGAGATCACTGACACCTGAAAGGGGCCTCTCCGAATGTTCACAGATGGGTGTGCAGTGATACCGGGAGTGGTGTGGCAGGTTGGTGTCTCCTGAAAGGTTGATTATGACTCACCTGAAATTCTTGCCTTTAAATGGCTTTCTGGAAGTCACCAGAAGGAAGAGACCCAGTCCCTGCACCCACCCACCCTTTATCGCCCCGGCTGATAAAGGGTGACAGAAGAAATCACATACCCGTGAGTCTCAGTTCTGCCTGGAGTTTCTCTGTCAGCCTTTAGGCAGAATGGAGATTATGGAAATGAGTATATTCTACCTTTGCCCACTCTGAGTTGGAGAGCCCAGGTGAGCAGAAGGAAGAAGCGAAAGGCTTTGTGTGGGGGATATATATACATAGGAGGGTCTCCATGGAGCAAGCACTTAAAGAATATGCCCTCCCATACATTTTCGCACCACATAGAAACAGACAAGAAGCTTTGTGTTGAGAATTAGGACAGTTTATTGTTTTATCAACATGCTGAGTCTTCCACATTTTACACAGTTTTATGTAAAGTCAATGTGGCCATTTATGCCTGCTGAGCCAGTAAGAGATGGAAATGCCATCCTCTGCTCCTCATGGCTAGTCACTTCCTGGGGGTGGGTAGGGGAAAAGTTGACACACACCACGTGATAGGGACTGGTCTTCAAAGTACCGAGGCTTCCTACTGGAAGGAAGCATCCAAACCCCACTGCATCACCCATACAGGTCTGCAATACCTAAGTAGTTCATTTCAAACAAATTCAAAGGGTGCCCTGGTCTGTGGGTGCCCACAACAATCAGAGTAGACCTGGGCCCTTCTTTGCAATGGAAGAGCCTGAAGTGGAGATGGGTTCTTCCCTGGCTCTCTCACAATCACTGAACAGACTCTCACATCCTAACCAGAGTAAAGATGGTCTGACACCCGTGCACAGCAGCCCTTTATGTGCAAGTGCACAGTCACAGTCACATCTATACACAGAGGTCAGCGACGGATGAAGATGGGAACATCTTGGTCCTGACCGCTTCTGACTTGCTGGGTGACTAAGTCACCCTCTCTGTCTTGCTTTTCATGCCTGTGAAACAGGAAGAGTTATGAGACCTCTGCCTCACCGCTGTAGCCAGCTGACAATGCCTCACATTCTTGGGAAGAGGTAGTTTGGAAACTAGTGAGCATACAACTCTGCTTGGTTGATGCAGACAGAATTCTGTTTAGCTGCCCCTCCTGTGGCTCAGACACACCTCACAGTCCTCGGCTACCTGTTCTCACATCCTGACATCCTCACCTACCTTCCACTGTGCGAAGGAATGAAGCTGCTCTGCCTGAAGGACACCGAAGCCAGCGGTGCCATTATTGTCACACCTGGTGCTTGAGGGCAGGGGATCCCAGCACTGGTTGGCCACCAGGAGGACGGAGACATTGCACTCAAGCCACGTCTGCATCCTGCGCTACCACCACTGCAATCCTCATTTCTGTTGCCTGAGACACTTGAACTGACCTGGCCATTGCTCCTTGGACCTGGGGACACTACAGAATGTTTGAGGATGCTGACAGGAGGAGAGCGGTGACAGTGATAGCAGGGAGGCCTCCAACCAGAAGAAATGGGCTTATAATCACCAAGTGTGCTCACCTTGGACTACACAGCTGCACTTCTAGCACTCAGATGCTTCTGCCACACTTTCATTCCGGCATGTGCACATTGTAAAATATGCTGTGTGCTTTTTCCATCTTATGCTCAATTTTTCAGTGCCGGCAAAACAGGAGCTTTACTGACCGCTTTTCTTCGACATCCCCAAAGAAAAAAAGAGGGCCTAAAGAAGGTGACCCTGCTCATCTCCCAAGTCACGGCTGGTCTTTGAGGTCATTTCCTAAAAAGGATTCCTCCACTTTGCCTCTTGTTAGCCCACCTGGGCGTGGCAAAGGTGTCACAGTCACTGGCGATGCCGAGGCAATTTCATGACATGTTCAAGGGAACCTGATCTTTTTATCATTGAACCTTAACTCTGAGTCAAGATCCTACCTACGAGTAAGAGGACAGTGACGGCACCTGCTCAAAATGAGAACCAAAGAACCAATGCAGTAGCGTGCAAGAGGCCTAGCTGCCCGGACACGCCAGGATATTGGGTGCAAATTGGGCCTGAGGAGAGAAGGGTCATGGAATGGGATGGCATGACCAAGGTGTGAAGACAAGATGAGGCAACTGCTCTCACCTGCAGAGGCCCGCAGGGCTGGGGAGAGCCTGACTCAAAAGAAGGGATGTTGTGTACTTGCTAGAAGAGGTGGGGCTCACAGAGGCCACAGCAAGCTGACCATCTCCTGTGTCTCTTACTGCTCCTGGAGGCTGGGATAGAATAAAGAGCTCATGGTGCCTTGGGTATGTGCGCACATGAGGAGGGAACTGAGTTTCTACTTTTTTTTTTTATAGGAATGTTTTAAGAAAAGCTATTCTTTAGTACCAAGAAAATAAAAATCCACCATACATTCATTCACTGAGACCCAGTGCAGATCCCTGCAAATGGGGCTGTTCAGGGGCCACAAGTAATGGCCCTCACTGCCACTCAGTCCAGATGCTGTAACACGGACTCCTACAAACTCTCACGAGGTAAGTAAGCACTCTTCCAACAAGCACCACTTGGGGGTGTGCCATGGTGGGGGGGTGCTGGCCCACATGGCATGCACACCCGTGCATATAAGTACATAGAGGGAGCAATGGTGCACATATTCCTGTGGGCTAGTTTTGCCTGTAGTTTAACACATCTATGTAATTATTTTATTGATGGCAAGACAATCACAAGTTTTTTGACAATATTAAGTACTTCTTATTTCAACACATTGCAGTACTTTTGAATGTCCAAAACTGTTATCACAATGCAAGTTTCAACTGGAGAGCAGGAAAAACAAGAATATATGTGGAGCACATGTACCTCTGGGAATGTGTGTGTGGAAGGTGTATACACAAGTCTATCTCTATATATAATTATGTACACACATATAAAAACTAAACACACGACATCGGGATTACGTTCGTACGTTGGTCTTTGCCTTTAGGAGGAGTTCAGTGGGAATTCTCCTTCCTCATTTCTTCACCTGAAGATAGAGTTCTCTTTAAGGATCAGCTCTGACACCCAGTCTCCTTAACTGAAAGTGTGCGGCAGGCCCGCTGGACAAACAGCAGTGAGGTCTGCCACGTTTCACTGCACTTACTGGCTGCCATTTTGGATTAGTTTCTGAGAAGTTCCAAAATTCGCTGCAGTAACTTGCTTGAGCTCTGCTTTGTGGAGGAATTCACCCCCTATCATAACCCAGATGGTCATTTAGCTCACCTTTGACATGACCAACAGCAGCCTGGGGAGGAGTCAATGCCAGCTTTTTGGAGGGCGGAGTTTAGTTTTGGGCCAGAGCTGCTGTCATCTGCCTGGCTTTGTGTAGACTCAGAGTCGGTGAGTCTGGGTCTATTCAGAGTACAGGCCAAGTGGGTTACATCACTTAGAAGAGAGAGTTCCCTTCAGGGATTTTACAGGTCTTCAGACTTAGCCCTTCTCAGAAATGAGTCAAAAATGGCAAAGATGGCTCTCTCTGGGCAGCCTTCTGGAGACCCCACCTCAGCCCTAATTCTCAGGCAACCAGAGTGTGGGTACAATATCCACAAAGGTACGTGCACAGAGATTTCAAATGCACTGGGCCAGTGGGGCAAAAACACATCAAGAAGTCAGCTTTTCCAGAACAGCACTGAACAGTATTAGCAACTGAGGATCTGAGAACATGCATCTTTACAGTAGTGGTTCTGCAGACCACCCTCCCTGAGGGCACACAATGAATCTCTCTGCTTTTCCTGTAGATTCAACCCAGATCTGTGTGCTGAACACTGGGCCGGTTGGTTGAAACATTTTTAGAAGTACACATGGTGCCCCAAGCCTGTGAACCAACCACACATCAACACTGCCCCCAGTTGCCAACAGCACCCCATCCTTCCTTCCAATGACCTCTTGCTCTGCCAGTCACTGGGCGGACCACAGAGAACACAAGGTTGCCTGTGGCAAATGCCCACCATCCCCTTCAAGGATTTTCAGGGAGGGGAAGGGAGAAGCAGAAGTAATTGCAATGGGGCCTGCTGCTGGGCTCCCTGCAGTCCGCAAGACCTTAATGTCAGCTCAGGGCCATGCCACTGTACCACCCTTGCCACGGAAGGACAGTGTCAGAGCTGCCTTCCTCAGAGGCTTCGTTCAATCAGTGTTTGAATTGACCAGGCAGGACGTGTTTTGTGGTGCCTGGTTGATATGGGCCAGATGGCCCAGGACTGGAGCCTAATTAAGTCGCCCAGTTAATGTTTTAGTTTATTGGGCGGGGGGTGGGAGGAAGGCAGAGGTGATGAACAGTTCAAAGAGGACAGGACAGAGGAGGTGTGTGGAAAAGGTTCTCTGTAAGTTTACAAATATACAAAAACAAAAAAAGCACATCTTTCAAATAAAAATGACTACATTTTTATCTGGCAAAAAGTTGTATACACATGATTTAAATTTTTTTTAAATTTTAACAGTTTTTGGCAATCTTAATAAAGTACAATATATTACAACCAAACCAAAAAATAGTTGTTTAAGTAACAGCTGTTAAGAGTGACGTGATCCCTGATGCCCAGCCTCCCTCCCCACCCTACCCTACTCCTAGAGACAGAGAGAAAAGAAAAATCCTCCCATCTTGATAAGCTCATTCCCCACCCCCCTTTAGGAAGCTAACCAATAGGAAGCAACACAACAAGCGAGTAGTGTCGGAGGAAGCCGTCAGGTCAGGCTGCATTAGCAGGAGCAGCCGCCTTCGCTGGCTGGGGGCTCTTGGGGTTTGTCCAGCTTGATGTCGATCACTGCAGGGGGCTGGGCTAAGGAAGACAACTCTCACGGAGAGGCTGCCACCCTGCCTCACGCCCCTCCCTGTGCACCCCTCAGCTGCCCTGCACAGCCCCTCTGTCCCTCAGCAAACACCCAGAGTCCGGCCTGCGAGGGAGGATTTAGGGCCCCTTTACCCCTTTCTCGGAAACCTTCCTGGTGACCTGGTGACCGGGCCCTGGGACACTGGCTCCCAGCTCAGGCCTCAGTCCCACCCCCAAGTGCACTGGAGGCGGAGAGCCTGAAGACCAGGCTGGGGTCCCACATCTCAAAGCACAGGGCTACACTGGCCTCGCCCTAGTCTGTTGCAGCCACATAGACGCCTCAAGCTCTAGTCAGCGCCTGTCACTTAGACTCTGAGGATGCCATTGTGAGAAGCCCTGGGGAAGGGCCGCAGCACAGTCCCCTCTCCAGCCTTCCCACTGGTGCCCAGAGGACGGCAGGCTGGAGGAGCACCAGTCAGAACTACCAGAAGAGTGGGTTCGAAATGCACAGACGGGTTGTTCCCTCAGCTGTGAGCAGGCTGGGAACTATCACATCAGGCCCCTCACAGCGGAGGACTAGGCCCTCTGCCCTGCACAGAATGACTCCTGGGTGGGGCTTTGGGGCCTGGGTGGGGAGACTGCACTGGGCTGGGGGCGGCGGGGAGTCGGGGGGTGGGTAGGTAGGTGTAAGAAGGCCTGCTGTGGGAGCCGTTGCTGGCATCCTAGGGATGTTTTGGTGGCCGCTATTGAGACTATGGGAGAGATTCTTTTGGCTCTAAGTACAGTTGGCCCTGCACAGCCACGGGTTCTGCATCCATGGAGTCAACCAATCGTAGATCAAAAATACTTGGACTTGACTTGGGGTGGCGAATGCACAATATAGTATACAGATGATGTGTTATAGAACTGTGCACCTGAAACCTAAGTAATTTTATTAACCAGTCACCCCAATAAATTCAATCTTTAAAATATTTGGAAAAAACATTATATTGTTGCTGATGTGTAGTTAAGTCTACAATGGTTGCATCTGTACTGCACATGTACATTACTCCTTGTCATTGTTCCCTCAACAATACAGTTAACAGCTATTTATATAGCATTTACACTGCATTAAATATTATAAGTAATCTAGAGATGATTTAAAGTATGCAGGAGGGTGTGCACAGGTTATATGCAAATGCCACACCATTTTATTTAAGGGCCTTGAGCATCCAAGGAGTTTGGTATCCTTGGGGGCCAATCGCCCACGGATACCAAGGGACAACTGCACTATAAAAAGCCATGCTTCTCCTAGAGGCCACATTTTCCCTCGTTGACACTTTTTGGCCATTCGGTCATGGTGTGTATTTTGAGTATGACTTTCTCTCTTCCTTTTCTTTGTTTTCCTACTTTATTTTCCCTATGCCCTGATTTTCATATGTGTGCATGTACACATATAACATACATTTTTATCTTGCTTTTTTGTGAGTGTATATGTACATAAACACATTTTTTCGTAACATGGCAGAGTATAAACAAATGATAAATAGGCAATGAACAACTTCCTTCTTTCTAATTAGGCAAATCAGACTACCTCTCTGAACCTCCATTTCAGCTTCTGGGTGAGGCCTGCGGTTTGGGGTGGACCCTGTCAGTGGCGTGCTGACCCTGTCCCAGGAGCGGTGGGGAGCTCCGGGGCTGTGTGGGGCGGGGCTGCGGACACAGGCAGGACAGGGAGGCGGCATCTGCTGGGGGAGCTGTCGTATACAGTAGGCTGAACCATTCTGAAATCACACCTGCGTGCACAGAAAGAAACCTTCCCTGCAGTGGAGAGTCTACTTATACCCATGAAATCCAGATCAAAGTTTACTGTAAGGGCAGCATCACTGTTTCTCACTCCCTGCGCCGTACCCCCACCCTGTTTGGGAAGTAAAAGCTTAGGTGGCTTGAGCTGGACTGGTCTCAGAGCCCTTGGAGTTCAGCCTCATCCCTGTATAGCACCCCCCACGCCACACCCACCCGCCAGGAAGCCTGGGCTGGAGGCAAGGCCTGTGTTCGTCCCCTGCCCTAAAATACTAAGTGAATAACTGGGATTGGCTTCTCCAGCACATCTTTCACTCATCAAAGAAAAAGGATACTCCCTTCTTTGCTTTTCTCCTGCACATTCTCCATTCCAGGCAGAGCCGACGCCACACGTCGGAAGAGCTGGAGAAAAGGGGCGATGCAGCATGAGTCACTCCCTGGCCCCTGTGTTTCCCCTCCTGCTCCCACTGTGTTTCCGTCCTCTTGCTTCTATTCGTCTGCTTGGGCTTTCCTATCCTGTCTGTCCCACTGACTGTACTTGAGGGCAGGGGCTGCACCCACTTCTCTCCCCCGCCACCCAGCACCTCTCAGTGTGGGGCCTTGGCTGGCCTCTCACCTGGCAGGCTGGCCAGGGGGTCACAAGGAGCTGAGCAAGGGGTTGTGGTGACTGAAAGGGACCTACCCCAGTGCAGATAATGATCTGGACCCCAGGAGACAGGCCCTCGGGAGGACTTCTGTCTCACTGCCCACATAGGGACCAGGTGTGAGGAACGCACTTCCCACCTGCCCTTGAGACAAAGACCCTCTCCTTGGGGAGTCCTGCAAGTTCACAGGCACGGAGGCAGCTAGGTGCTGACAGCCAGGGCCACATGGTCACAGCAGAGAGGGACTTTTCTGAGAAAACAACACAGGAGTGTGAACATGATATTGTGGGTTTGTTTGGGTATGGGTGTGTGATGTGTAGGCTGTGAGAAATATGTGCGGTGTGGCATCTGTGTGTGTGAATGTGTGTAAGTGTGTGGGGAGTCTGTGCTTCATGTATATGCACATGTGTGGCTTCTGCATGTGTAAGTGTGTAAGCGTGCATGGGGAGAAATGCGTGTGGGGTGTGTGTGCGGGGGCAGGGGTGGGTAGCGGTGTCAGGAAGGTGCTAGCAGACATGGAACTAGGAGGTGACAGTAAGTAAGAAGCAGAAGTACCAGGCACCAGATTCTGCACACAGCCCGTTCTCCCCATGAATGCCAATTGTAGGAACTTGGTGGGCTCTGGGCTTATAACTTCTCTCCGTGAGCTGAGGACAAGGTGAGACTTGTTCATGGTTTCACCCAGAGTGCAGTCTTATCGAAGCACCCAGGCTGAGTGAGGGCCCTATGGGAGCGCCCAGTGCCAAAGGCAACGAGGGCCTGAGCAGTAAAGTCACTGGTCTGCCTGGCAGAGAGTGGGACCCGGCGGCTACGCTGCAAAAAGGGCTCCAGGGTGGGGCAGGCAGAATTGGGTGAGGGTGCGGAGGGCCTGGGTCACTCCTCCTGAGCTTTCCTTCATGGCCTTGTTCCTGGCAGCCTTGCTCTACCTGTCTGAAATGTCAAAATGGTCACAGATTCTGCCAACAGCCAAAGAGACAGCTAGAAAGCCATTCCTGGGGGCCACATGTGGGTCTCTGAGAGCAGATACGATCACGTTTAGAGTCCAGGAGTCTGCACTGCATAGAGATTCCTCTGAACCACACAAGGTTTCAACTGACCACAATGAATTTCCACTCAGACCGTTATGTGGCTTTGAGAGCATTCTAGGAAGGGAGGCACCAGCATCTCCCTGACCCTGACCGCTGCTTCCCTCCCCCCAGGACTTTCCATTCGGGTACAAAGAGCAGCAGCCCAGTGTCTTGCATGCCTGTGGGGGCGGGGGGCGGGGGGGGACAGGTAACTCCGCCCTCCAGGACTTGCCGCAGTCTTACACCAAAGGAGGCTGGGAAGAAGGTAGGCGTGAATGGAGCCATACTGTAGTCACTCCAACTGGGGGGGTCACTGAGCCCTGGAGCTTTTGGGGCTGCCCCTCTTGTCTCCTTCCACTCTTCTGCCATCTTCCCCGCTGCCAGCTGGTGCTCTCCGCAGGGGATAAATCTTCACTGCATCCAGACCAAGTGCTGCACGGGAAGCCTGTCTAGTGTTCCAGGGCACCGATGGGCATGGCCAAGCAGAAGTGACATCCCAGCCAAGCCATGCTCCTCACTCAGCGTCCCCTCCCCATGCCCCGTTACCCCTCCTGCCACTCCGTTACTCATGCTGTTCCGCTTGCCTGTGATGCCTTTCCTCCTTATCACCTCTCCAAGTCCTCTCTCTCTTTTTTTTTTAAGACTTTATTTATTTTTTAGAAAGGGGAAGGGAGGGAGAAAGAGAGGGAGAGAAACATCAATGTGTGGTTGCCTCTCGAGCGCTCCTACTGGAGACCTTGGCTCGCAACCCAGGCACGCGCCCTGACTGGGAATCGAACCTGCAACCCTTTGGTTCGCAGGCCGGCACTCAATCCACTGAACCACACCAGCCAGGGCCAAGTCCTCTCCTTGTTGCAGGCAGGGGCTCCTAACCTTGTGGGAACCTTAGACCCCTTTAGCAATCTGATGACACCTACACACTCCTTCTAAGCGTGTAACATCAATTACACAGCAGCATAACAGAAAACGTTTAGTATTAAAATCTTTAAAGATACAAACTGGTGATGGAGCATGAACCTGTTAAACAGCAAGAGCTGGCTGTGTGTCTAATAACCACCGTGATACTGAAGTAGTGATGGGTGTCAGGTTCAAGATACTGCAACACTGTAAGGTGATAAGAACACAGCTGTGATCTCTAAGTGATAAAGCCACAGAGGCTGCTGCTGTGAGAGTCTTGCTGCCTTCATTCATTGCTGAAGGTAACAACACTAAACAGCAGTGAGATCTAAGTGCTGATAAAGCTGTAGTTTTTCCAACCCGAGATGACAGACATGCTGAACTGCATCCGTGGACTCACTGAGGTCTATGGACCCTCTACGCTTCTTTGGTAATTCTGGTTCCCCAGGCCTGTCCCCTCCTGAGAGCTCCAGTGCACCACGGGTGGGCTCCTATCTCCAAGCCTGCCTGGCCCTCCCACCCCTGAGCACTTGCCAAGTACAAGGCATGAACCCCTGTACCTCCATCACTAATCGAGTAAGATGCCAGGGAAACGATGCTTCCCTCAGCCACCTGGAAGTTGGGGGCTGGACATTCACAGCTACAGGGGCCATGTGGCTGGCTGCTGTAGGGCGCCTAATGACGGCATTCTCCGGACACCCCCGGAGGGCCAGTGCTCCTTCCTTCCCGCACGTGTTTCCACCTCTGCAGATAAGCTTGCTCCCCGTTAGATGGGTTGATGGGCATTCTGGTTGGCTGCCCGCGCCAGAAGCCACGTGCCGGCCCCACAGTGAAACTGGGCCGGAGATCGGCACCAGGTGCGTCCTACCTGCTTCACGTTGTAGCCGGTCTTCGCACTGGTCTCGATAAACATGACACTCAGTTCTTTGGCGCGCTGCTCCCCCTCCTCGATGGTTATCTGCCTGCAGATGTGGGGAGGGAAACATCAATTCAGTAGAGAAGCAGCCCCTGGGAGAGGTGGAGGGAGCAGCCTGAGATGAGGGGCCACCCAGATGGAGACACAGGGAACAGCAGGACACACCAGCCCTTCTCTACTCCTGTAGTATCTTCCAGTTTGGGAGCAGGCCCTGTGGCAGGTGGCTGTCCCATACCTGCCTTTCCCAGTGGTCGCCGCTGCCGGACACTACATTTGTAAAGTGCTTCAAGACACATACCGTCCCTCTGTTGTCAGAGGGTGGTGTTGTCAGTCCCATTTTCCAAATGAGAACACGGAGGTTAAAAAGTGACTGCCCCAAAGTCACCTACTTAGCAAAGGAGCTAGGCTTTGAGCCCCATTTACTTCACACCAAGAAGAGGGTTCTAATAAAGTAGGCTCTCATTCAGGTAATTCCTAACGCGGTCAGAGTATATTTCAGCAAGCCCACAGTCAATGGCCTGTTGCTTTATCTAACCAAGTTAGGTCCCCTGAGATAAGTGAACAAAGGTAGGTACGTGGCACCTACGTGGGCCCTGTGCCTTGGAGCGGCCTCTTCAGAGCAAGCGTCACACCTAGACATCATGCCAGATCAGGAAATTCTGAGGCTGACCTGTGGGACCGGGACCTCCATGCCCTCACCCACACTGGTGTGGGCATTTCATGGGGGCAGACACACAAAGCACAGGCTGAAGCCAGTAGGAGCCCAAGGGACTGCTGTGCCTGCAGCTGTGTCACTGGTTGTGGCCAGACCATGCACTGCGGGGCTGGGCCAGGTACACAGGGCTCCACGCAGACCTCCCACAGAGGTGTGCCCTTGCCCTGCCCCTGGTGGCAGTGCTAGGTGGGGCCTCAGAGGTGACACGCGCAGGGGTCTGCCAGGGGCTTTCAAAGCCTCCAGCAACCCGATGGGACCTTTCCCAGATGCAGGGGATAGGTGAGGGTGCTCATGACCCATGCCTCCCAGAACTCCTCGTCCGGGAAGAGTTGCAGAGGCGTGCAGGGTGGGCCCAGCCTGCCAGCCCCTGCACCCACCTCTTGTCGGCCAGGTCCGTCTTGTTGCCCACCAGCATGATGATCACGTCGCTGCCCCTCTCTGTCCTGACATCGTCGATCCACTTAGAGGTCTGCTGGAAGGAGTTGAGGTCTGGAGGTGGAAAGTGGGAACAGAACTGGGAGTGAGATCCAGCTCCCAGCAGGAGAGGACAAAGGTGGGAAGGGAGCAGGGGGACAGGCAGCACGCACCCTCAGACCCCCGGGAGGGGCCGCAGCGCAGGCCGCACAGCCCAGCGGGTCCGGGCCTTCCACAGGAGGCCCGTGTGTGTTTGTGGAGCTGCTGCCCCAGGGCCTGGTGAGCCGCTTGTACTGCTGAGCCACCTCGGGGTGGTGGGGGGAGTCACTCCATCTGGAAGGTCACAGTGTTATGATTTGCTACGCGCACTAGTGGTCTTAGGGACCCATCTGAGGGTGAGGCATGATGTGGGAGGTTCAGAGCAGAATGAAGAATGGCGCATTGGACTTGTGCTTGGAGACCGAGAAGGGGGTGGGGGCACAGCAGTCGCTTGGGGAGGAGGGCCCTGAGTGCCACCTGTCACTGAGGGGAATTCTGGGGCACTCGGGAAAGGCCAGAGGGTTTTCTGAAAAGAACCCTCGGGTCTCCAAGTAAGAGGAGGGAGAAGGCAGCCCCAGGAGCAGACAGAAGCTGGGACAGGCAAGGCCTCTTCAGAGCAGCTCTCTCCTCAGAAGATGTGAATGACCTTGAAGAGGATCACTGACCTATTGTCATAGGGTGTTGCCCCCAGCTCAGCAGCCCACACCCCCAGGGGAGGGGAGGCAACCTGTTTCCCATAGGCTGAGCTCTCTTCTGCTCTGTGTCAGGCCACAGGACCCCAGCTCCCACCTGAGCATGGTCAGAGGGGCAGGAAGCCTGTGGTCAGGGAGGGGGGCAGAAAGGGGGCGTAGGCAGGGCCAAGGGCAGGAGGCCGGGGCAGTGCCCTGGAGGTCTTCCCACCACGGGCATGACCACAGCCCAGGGCCTTACCAGCTGTGTTCCATTCTACCCGCCTGGGCGGTGGGGCCCTGTGCCAGGCCCTGCCCTCGACCGCCAGCCCCCTGAGCGTCCCTCAGGGCTGTGCAGTCACTCTCGAGGACAGCTGCTTTGGCAAGAAGGGCTAGAAGTGAGAAGTGAAGCCACTGCAGCTCTCCCAGACCTGCTCAGACTCCCCTCTCACGGAGCCCTGTGAGGAGCTGGGGTGCCAGCCGACAAAACCACGGCCGGTCAGCCCATGGACCCAGGGCCCAGTGTCTTCTTCCACCTTGAGACAGACACACACATACACACACACACACACACACAGAAGATGCTCTGTAGGAGCCTTTCTGGCAGACACACACACACACACACACACACACACACACACACACAGAAGATGCTCTGTAGGAGCCTTTCTGGCAGACACACACACACACACACACACACACACACACACACACACACAGAGAGAGAGAAGATGCTCTGTAGGAGCCTTTCTGGCAGCCAGGACCAGGGAGGTTGCGGAGGGGCTGGAAGCAGGGCCAGCCTTGAGAGCGTCTCTGCTCCCCTCCACACGCAGGTCCCTGCTCTGGGCAGGGCCAACCTGTGCACCCATGACTGTTGCAGGAGGGTGGGAGAAGGCGGAACACATGCTGGTGTTCAAAGGCAACTCAGCCCCGACCACTGAGCACCTGCCTCCCTGCATTCAGAGGATAAGTGTGCACGTGCACACACACACTTGCACTCACACACACACACACACACACACACACGGACGCTGCAGCCTGGCTGGGGCTCCACTCGGGCCCTGGAGCCCCTGTGAGCCACCCCGCCCCCCGGCACCCAGGACCCACGCTCACTTGTGATGTCGTACACCACTACAGCCACCGTGGAGTCCCGGATGTAGCTGGGGATCAGGCTGCGGAACCTCTCCTGGCCCGCTGTGTCCCAGAGCTGCAGTCGCACCTGTGGCAGGGAGGGCAGGAGATCAGCAGGGTCACTGAGGTCCTCATGGTGGGTGTGGGGACTGCGGGGGGCAGGGGGACTTGGCCCTGTGATGCCGGCTGCCAGCTTTGGCGCAGACATAGGCTCTCAGGGGTGCCCAGCTAAGGGTCCAGGTGATAAGCCTAAAAGAGCCCTCCCTGTCCTCCCAGTTCTAAAGTCAGGCGCTCACCGTACGATCTTCCAAGTACATGGTTTTTGACAAGAAGTCAATTCCAATGGTTGCCTGTTAGAGAAAAAGACAGAAAAGGTCAAAGCTGAAAGGTCTCAGCCAAAAGGGCAAAAAGCTCAGTGATCTGGGCAGTGACAGCCAAAAAAAAAATGGGGGCCACCCATGGCAAGTGCGGCGTGGGTTCTGCTTTGGTCTCCCTGATCCCCACCCTCTCGAAAGTGAACCTTCTCATCCCTCTCAGAGGAAGTGAGTTTGAGCTAAACCAGGATGAGGACAGGGTGTTTAGGGAGTGACATAAAAGGCAAGGGGATGAGAGAGCTGGGTGGAAAGGCCTCCCCAGGAACAGGGCCAGAAGACCCAGTTTTGGAAGAATGAACATCATCTCAGGACTTGAGATGACTAAGGGAAAAACCCAAAGAGACCTACCTTCAAGTTTAAATATTGCATATAACCATGCCCCAAAAACTAGCTGCCCATAATTTAATGGGCTATTAAAATAAAACCCAACACCCTTCAGAGGAAGGTAAGAGAATGCAAGAATCACTACAGTGTATTAGTCACAACATCCTCTACACAATAAAAAAAGATCAGACATGTAAAGAGGCAGGAAATTCAAGCCATAATCAAGAGAACAACACAATAGAAACAGACCCCAGATGACCCAGATATTGGATTAGAAGACAGGACTTTAAAACAACTGATATAAATGTTAGAACATAAAGGAAAAGATGAATGTGGTGGGTGAATTTCAAGTGATATAAGAAAATGCTAAAAGAAAAGAATAGAAATTTTAACACTAAATAATACCTAAAATAAAAATACATTGGATTTAAATAATAGCAACTAGGACACTACAGAAGAAAGGTCAGTGAACTTGAAGAGAGGCCAAAAGAAATTATTCAGACTGAAGCAGAGAGAGAAAAAAGATGGAATAAAAATGAACACAGGATCAAGAACTTCTAGGACAATATCAAGTGATCTGATAGGCATGCAATTAAATGCAATTAGGCTCTCAGAAAAAGAACAGAATCAAAATCAGCAAAAAAATTTTTGAAAAAATAATGGTCAGAAAATTCCCCAATTTAATTAGATAAATACAAAGGAAACCATACCCAAGCATGTCATAGTTAAATTGCTAAAAAACAAATATAAAGAGAAAGGCTTACTAGCAGCCAGAAATAGAAAACACATGATACATAAGGAAATAATGACAAGAATGTTAGTTGATTTCTCTTCAGAATATAGGAAAGGAGAACAAATCTTTACGGTCCCAAAAGAAACAACAACCATCATGTCAACACAGAATTCTATAGACAGTGAAAATTCTGGTCAACAACAGAGGCAAAACAAAAACATTTTCAGATAAAGGAGAGCTGTGATAATTTGTAACCAGTGGGCCTTCATTATAGGACATGGTTGAGGCTGAAGGAGAATTTTACAGATGAAAATTTGAATCTTTAAAGAAGGAATGTAAAAGCGCCAGAAATGGTAACTCTATAGATAAACATAAAACCATGTGACTTGTCCTTGATCACCGCCTGCTCCAACCCCTATCAGTAGTTCATAACATCCTCTCCTTTGTTTTATTCCTGCTATGTCCTCAGCCCAAATCACTCAGATGACCCAAAATCCTACTGTACAATAGGAGGTATAAACCACTTCAATGCCTTGGTTTTATAATCTAATATGACAACAATGATAACCACTGCACCAATGACTAAACATCTGAGTATTTATGATGAACCAGCTACTGTGCTAAGTGCTTTACATGCATTATTTAATCCTTATAACCTATGTTATGGGTTATATTCATTAGTATTCATACGTCACTGCTAAGAAAGCTGAGTACAAGAGATGTTAAGTTACTTGTCTAGTGTCAACAGCTGAATGTGGAAGAGCCAGAGTTTAAAAGGTATTTGCTAAAATTGTCGACCCGCACCCAACCTCATCCCTACATCCCTCCAGGCTCTGAGTATTTTCTCCTCTCCTGTTCAAAGCAAGCCTTCCCTTGGTGTCCTCTTGGCCCGGGTCCTCTTTCCCTCGATGATGCTCTCTCAGCTATCTCTTTTCTTTTCTGTATTTTCCACTTCTCATTCTCTATTGATTCTTTCCTTTTGTTTAAAAAAAAAAAAAAACACTCTCACACCATTAAAAAAAAATTCCTCCATCACTAAGTGGCTGTCTAACTATCCGCCAATCTTTCACCTCTCTCCAGATGCTATGTTTCTTCGAAAAGGACCCTAAACCCACAATCTCCACTTCCTCCCACCCCACCCATTGCGTATGTTGGCAGTCTGATTAATACCTTCTGCCCATTGAAGCTGCTCTAGTTATGGTTGTCAGTAGATATTCCACCTGCAAATTGTAAGGACACTACAGGCCAGACTCTGCTTCATGCACTTGACCTGTTGACCAATCCTCCTCTTTGACATTCTTCCTTTGCTTTTCACGACACTACTTGTTTCTGGCTTCCCTGCTTCTCTAACTTCTGCTCCTTATTGATCTTTTGTAGGATCCTCTTCCTTTCCCTGTCCCCAAAATGTTAGTGTTTCCTACTGTTTTGTGTCAGGGGACCACATTGACTCTCACACCTTCACATAGGATGTGCTGATGGCTCCCTGATCCACACCCAGGCCTACCTCAGTCCTGAGCCCCAGATTCAGGTATCCAGCTGCTTTATAGACATCTCCCTAAACATATACATCCCATACAGGGCCCTTTATCTCCCTCCCAACTTGCTCCCTCTAGCCTACCTAGATCTCTGTGAATGGTACCACTGCCACCCTAGGTGCCTGCGCCTCGGGAAGCCTTCCCACGTCACTCCTCTCCACTTGCTCTCCCACTCACTCCTCCCATCGAAAGACTCACTGAGCTGATTACTTTTCACTTGTCCACTTTTCTCCATCCCCAGCGCCACTGCCCCAGTTCAGACCTCCAACCTCCTTTACCTGAATAACCTAAACAGCGTCCTGACTGGTCTCTCTGCCTCCAGGCTCTCCCTTTAGAGCTGATCTTTCACACAGCACCAGGGCTATCTTACTAAAACATTAATTTGACCCTAGCACTCCTTCCTGCCCCTAGGAAGCAGTCCAGACACTTCAGCTTGGCCTCCGAAGCTGTTTGGGGCCTGCCCCTCACTTCCTATGGCCCCATTTCCCCCTTGCCCAGCTTGCCTTTTATACATTAGTGACAATACTCTGGCCAGGAATCCACACACGTAAGTCACCTTGTGTTTCTGTGCCTCTTCCAATGCCGTTCCCTCCCTGGAATGCTCTTTCACATGGTTAATGCCTATTCGGAGTTCAAGATTCTGCTTCTCTGCAGGTAATTTTCTGAGCTCTCAGGTTGGCTTCAGGACCCCTCATCTATCGGTTTCCCTACTAAATTGTAAAGCTCTCTCCCACAGCCCGTGATTCTCAGTATGTAGTGTGCGCGACCACTTGCTTCAGGATCACATCAGGATCTTGTGAAAACGCCAATTGCTGCCACCCAAACAGAGAGAATCACAATCTCTGGGGTGTTGGTCTGGGAATCAGGATCCCAGACAAGCCCACACATACCCATCCATGCAGCAAACAACTGCCTGGCCTTTGAGCTTGAGCTACCATCAGTCTGGAAAGGCCACGGCGTCCAGGAGGAGGGGCGGACGCCTGCCCAGGGGGAGACAGAGGGAGATGCTCATGCGTGCAGAAGATGCTATTCATAGATGAAGCAACCAAGGTTCACACATGACCAAAGTCCCATAAGGGGGGTGGCAGAGGGAGGGTAACTGCCCAAAAGAGTCTCCCTGCTTACAAAGCCCTCTTGGCTCTTCCGCTTCCTAAAATCCTTTCGTCTCTGAAGCTGTCACCGTGGCCTGAAGCTGTCATTGAATTTTCATGGGGGTCACATCCTGTCTGGCTCCCTATTGTCAGAATCTTATGGTCATTAGCCACAATAACTCAGCAGGGTCCACTTAAGAGGGAGTTCATGTGCATTTTACAACAAGAAAAGTCAGCTCTCCAAGGACAGAACAGAAACAAGAAATTTTATGATGGCCTTGGCTGGGCCTTGGTTACCAGAAAATTTCCAGCTCCTCAGCATCATCTATTTTTCCAGACACAAGGCGCAAGCAGATGGTCCCACACAACTGTCGGCTGCCGGCGGGAGCCCACTTCTCCCAGACAAGTCACGTCTGCAGGGAGAAGGGGGTCATGGTCTTCCCTGGGCAAACAGTAATTAACACTCATTCACTTATTCATTCTCATATGCTCAGTATGTGTTAGATACAGAGCAGAGCAAGCCCTGCTCCCTGCCCATAAGGAGCTGATGGTCCCTCCCCTGGAATGCTCTTCCTCATGGTTAATATCATTCAGAGTTCAAGATCTAGCCTTGAATTTCCAATGTATGGAGGAGCTAAGATTAGCACACAAACCTATGGACCATGACAGATGGAAAAGACTAGTAGAGCTTAGGCTCTAAGAGGAGCAGGACCTTGCTTATGCTTGATTTCTTGAGGAAGGGCAGAGCAACTATGCAAACCCTTGAGTGAATACTAACTATCCAGCAGATGAAGATGGGGGGAAGATGGGAAGTGTGGGGAGAAAATCTCAGATAGAGGGAATGAGAGAGCTCTATTTTTGGTAATGACAGGGTTCCTATCAGACCAACTCTCTTGCAGATTATTACTGTTACAAACTCTGAACAAAATAGAACAAACAAGTATCTGAAGGCACTGGAAAGTGACCAAAAGTGGGTAGAATCTGGAGGGGAGTCAACACTTAAAAGAAGGGAACTTCCCTGGGTAAGGATCCTGTTTTTATGACTGTTCACACCCCTGGAGGCAGTCCGCCCTGGAGCTGAGGGATGGCAAATAACCTACAGTCTTACTGCCTGAGAAATGAAAGGGCAGATTGCAAAGGTGTCATGGAAGCCAGAAAGTATGGAAAATTCTGAAAATAAGAAAGGCATACTAAGCGCACCCCAAATTCCACACCTAAATGCTGCCCAAATCTGACTGACCCAAACAGCCTACCTGACTAAAAACAAAACAAACAAAGCTGAACATAATGTAT